CTATATAGAATTCACCCTTAACCAAAAACCAAGGTGGCATTACCCAGCCATCGGCAGCAATACATTCAATTGAAGTAAGCGATTCACTAGGCCCGCCAGTTCCAATACTAGCAGATTGACCAGCCTTAGTTGAAACGACTTTTCGGGGTTTTCCTTCGCCAATTTTGAAGCCGCTTTCGTCAAAGATATAGATATTCTTCGATCCGATTTTTAACCGCTGAATAGTATCACCTAGGCGAGTATATCAGGTAGTAAGATGGCCAGGGGTAACTGCTTCTAACCGGTCTTTTTCCATGGGTTTTTGCTTGATATAGGTGTATTTCTCAGGTAGTTGTTTAATAAAGCGATACGCCCAATTTTTACCGAGCTGCCGATCTGGATCATGGCGCCGAAGAATGTCAATTGCGCACTTATAGATCATATTTGAGGTTGGTGGTGCATTTGCAGCATTTAAAGTGTCAATCCAAAGCATTAATGCCTTCTCTTGATCTGGTTCTAGGGCTTTGTTGGGACCAGTACGACTGCTTCGAGAAGTGCGACCGTGGATTCGACCCCTCAGGGTATAGTATGAAACGTCGGATTCCCGCGCCAATACTGAGAGAACAGGCTTCTTGCTTGCATAGTAGGCTTCAATAGCACTACTAAGGCGATCCTCCAAATTTTGAGAAGAAAAAGGCATTTTTAGGGTAATCGTGCCAAGCCCACCAACACCTACCGGTATTGGTGGGCCTCACCGGATAACAAATTCTTCCATTAAAAATGCATTAAACCACTATTTACAAATAACCACCATGACTATCTATATACCAACTTCCACCATTACTATCTCTTGCCGCCATTGATGCTTCATGCTCAGCCTCAGCTAAATCCCTTGCCTTTTGGGCCTGCTGTTCAACTTCCAATTCCTCGGCTTGCTTAGCTTGCTTCCTCTGAAGCTTCTTAGCATCGCCATCGGCCCTTTTTTTTATCATCCTATTGGCGCATATAGGTGATAGTACTGAATTCCGTGCTCCAAGAATCGATTGCCCATTTCTTGGAATATCTGCTAACGTATTTCACAAGCCAGTGGGCCACACAAGCGAGTGGGCCACGTCAAAACACCATAGTAAATGCGATATTTTACAACCTTATATATCAACAACGGTAGTCTATATGGAATTTTCCCTATAGCTTACTGCTTTTTAGGTGATATCTGGCCTCTCTAAGGACTTTGGAAAATTTTTACCACTTCATGATTGAGATATATATATTTTTGGCTTTGAGCAGCGTAATTTTCAATACCGTGATAATGCAGCTTTTCGATTTTCTTAAAACTGATATATACTGTTCAAAAGTCTTATCAATGGTTATCAAATGACAATGAAATCAAACAACAACGTGGTTGCTGAGATATAAGGTTGTAAAATATCGCATTTACTATGGTGTTTTGACGTGGCCCACTCGCTTGTGTGGCCCACTGGCTTGTGAAATACGTTACTGATTTGTGGTATTGAGACTTCTTTAAAGATCTCTTTACTAAATCAAGCTGCTGAGATAGATATGCATTTGCATCCATACTCCGTTGAATATGCCGTTTTGCCTGCGCAGATGTATTTTCAGCTTTCTCCAGGTATTTAATAAGCTTAGTATTAAGCGTATTAACCCGGGCGATAGTATCTGGCGGCGAATTGGTGACTGAGCTTGGGATATCTGGGGGGGGGGGAGAAGGCGTGAAAATCCTAAGGGGGGACCCTTCATTCTCGATTTGTATTTGGCGTAAAGGACCAAGTACGACTTCCGGATCAAAGGGGTAAATACCCCTAGATTTAAATGAAGATCGGATGGTTCTGCTAGTAAAAGCTTGCTTCCGGATATTAGCGATCATCCTGAAAAAATCCCGCTTTCTAGCAACACTTCCACCCCATATCATCACTTCGTTATTGGCGGTACGGAAGTAATGTTTTAAGCATTGAAAAGCTTGACCATCTAGCGGTTGACAGAGATGGGTTGTATGGGGTAGGAAGTAGAATGGGATGATGTTTTTCTCCTTACAAAAGGTAGTAAATTCAATGGTAGTATGAGAACCATGGTTATCCATCAATAAAAGCCTTGGCCTACCCTCGTCGACGTGAGAAATTGAAGCATGATGAAATGAACAAAGCCATTGAAATGCAGTCTCGTTATTAATCCAGCCATTTAGGGTAGGTTTAATTCGAAAATCGGGGATAGTGATATTTTCATACCACTCTGCCATTTGGGAACTACCTTTAGGTAGAAACCATGGTAGCATAACCCAACCATCGGCGGCGATACATTCAATGCCAGTAATTGATTCATTTTGACCACCGGTAGGATTAGTATATGCTCCGGTAGGAGCAATAACCTTTTGTCGCTTTCCCTGGCCAATTTGGTAGCCGGTTTCATCCCAATTGAAGATCTCATTTTTCTTAAATCCATATTGTTTAATAACCTTTTTAAGGCTATTAAACCATAGGAGCAATTCGCCATAATTCTCGCTATCAGCCCTTGCTTTTTCAGCAGGTTTTGGGCTAATATATCGGATATCTGGGGGTAGGCGATTGATAAATCGGTATACCCAGCTGCGGCCAACCTGCCGATCGGAACCAGCATCTTTTAAAAGCTGGTTTGCAGAGCGCTCAATGAGATCGGCGGTATTTGCAGTATATGAATAGCGTAGTGTTTGGATCCAGGATATCAATGCTTTTTCTTGCATCGGGTTTAATGCCTTACTTTGACTAGCAATGGTTGGATTGGACTTCCGTCCACTAACGCGCCCGCGTAGTCGGTTGTAGGGAACAGCGAATTCTCGCGCCAATTTAGCTAAATTGGGCTTATCGCTTTGGAAGTAGGCTTCTACGGCCTGTAGAGTTCTCATCTCAATATTTTCATTTTGTTCTGACATCGTGTTGTGGTATAAAATGGGTAGAAAATTGATAAAAAATGGAAAATTTGTGATCCGGTGAAAATTTGTTATCCGGTGAGGCCCACCAATGCCGGTAGGTGTTGGTGGGCTTGGCACGATTAGTAGAGAGATGTTTAAAATGGTGGGTAGATGAAGTTTTGCATTAGACTAGTTTTTGCATTAGACCAGTGCGGCCCAACTCCCCCGGTGGGAGTTGGGCCGTGCGTTGGGCCGAGTACTTCTTCACGTACGAAGGGGGGGGGGGTATCGGCTTTAATACTTGACGGACATGGAAGTCATTTAACGCCGGAATTTGACAAAATTTGTATGCCTGCTCATTCATCCCATCTTTTACAACCTCTCGATGTCGGCTGTTTTGCGGTCTTACCGGTCTTAATAAGACCGTCTTATAGTCGGGCGGTTGAAACGAAGATGCGGAACGGGATCAACCATATTGAGAAACTTGACTTTCTTGAAGCATACCTAAAGGCACGAATTGAAGCTTTTAAACCGAAGACAATTAAAAGCAGCTTCCGAGCTACCGGTTTAGTGCCATTTGCACCAGATCAAGTGATTTCAAAGCTTGATATCCGGCTTCGAACGCCTACCCCCCAGCCGGGGTAGTGAATCAAGTCGAAATTTTACACCAAAAGCGCCAGCTACAGAGAAAGAACTACGTCGTCAGGCTTCATCAATCAAAGCTTTACTTCGTACAAGATCTCGAAGTCCACCTAGCCCGTCAGATCGTGCATTAAACCAGCTTGTAAAAGGCTTCCGTCTTACAATGCAAGGTGCTATCTTACTCGCGAAAGAAAACAAGGAATTACGCGCCGCCAACGAGAAGCAGAAGCAAAAGCGTACTCGATCCCGACAGCAGATACCAGCTGAAGCAGGGCTCACAGTTCAAGAAGCTTCTCAATTGATTACTGAGCCGGTGGAAGCAGATGAAGCACCCTGGCGCTCTGTACCGCTAAGATATGCAGGATTAGTACCACATGCGAAAGTGGGCCCCATTTAACCAAGGCAATAAGATGCAAACGCGCAGTCATTAATCCGGAGTGCCGGGGATCACGGGATATGGACCTCTCGAATGACATGGAACAGCGAGTTAGATCGGGCTGGACAAACATTAGAAAATAGCTCTCTTTTGTCTTTCCTTATAGGCGGGCATCTTTTCGCGTAGACATTCACACTGAGCTTGTCAGTTTATATTTGTTGACTTGTTGTGTCAACCTCACCTTTTGATGCGTCACTTTAGGGCTGATCCGCGCGGTATGCACGGCTTTTGGCACATTAGTCAAACTCCAATCACAATGACTCGTAAGGGTACATTGGCAGATATGACGTGCCTAAAGTCTTGCTTGGTTTGGGATAGGGTACATTACACGAAGTCCCTGGAAACATTATAGCAAGTGTGCATATTAACGTGGCTGATGGTGGGAATCGGAAGCCATGCTTTCACTGTCCGAATATGGTAGCGCTGCAACATGGTTGCATCCACATATTAGTATGATGTAGACATTACATCAGGAGCCCCAACTAATGAGAGAAATAGGGATTTTGATCAATCAAAGCCATGAGTGAGTGTTTATATGTTCATGTCGAATTTCGAAAACCAGACGATTGTCCACTGAGATAGCAATAAGTCCAACACTATCTCTGGATCTAGATTATCTGGGCAAATCCAAGGGTTCTTATGCTATCGGCATTACCCTTATTAACACTGCATGAGAGCGAATCCATAGCTGATCTGAGGCATATTTCATGCCATTAGAGTGGACCCATACATAACGAGAAAAAGAAGTAATACAATACAATACAAGGTCATTGAGATCTCCAATTGGTCGATACGTGGTGAAATTTTGACAAATACCTGGTGCCTGAGAAATATGTATACTACGGGACTGGTGGCACTGCCCAATCAGAATCGACCGTAATTTATACCACCAGGAACAACCATATATCCGGCACAGTCACTTCGAGATTTTAGGATACAAACCCCACTACCCCTCACAACTCTCTGTTCCTCAAAATTCGGTATTCGAGGCGCATTTTGCTCGTACAGGATTGATCAAAATCACCGGCAAAGTGTTACAAGATGACGAGCAAACCGCTATGGGAAAATGCGGAGCCTATTGTCTCTGCTGTACGGCAGCTCCTACTAGACGGCAAGATCCTCCCTTACGAACCGAATGCGTATGGGTGGCAAGGCGTGGGCGTTGAAATGCAAATATTCATTGAGGATCTGAAGGCAGAAATAGAACGAAAAGAGTTCAAAGTAAGTCCCGGCTTTTCTTCTACCTGGCGATTGCTTACGGAGTAGGTTGAAAAATGTTTCGTTTTCCACTTCAATATCGGCAGGACGCTCGATAATCCCTCCGAACGCCTCCTAATATTTCCTCTACGCGGTCTCTCCGATGTTAGGCCAGGGGCCCCTCTAGAAACTGGTACATACTGGTTTATCAGTGATAAACGAGCCTTGGTTCCACGACAACCGTGCGGAGTCGACGTTATTATCGCCGTTGGCGAAAAGAGAACTGAGGCAACTACGACTATCATGTGAGCGGTGCAGATTCCACCGCGGCACAATTTTTCAGCACCGGAAGCATTTTAGGCGAATTGATTGCTAATACATGGCGTTTTTCTTTTCTGTCTGGGCTGCCAGGAAAATAGTTGGCCCGTTAGGCGTGAGCCGTGCTGATACTTTCGTCCTCGTCCACGTTCTGTTCACGATCCTCTGGCATTCCAGGGCTGCAGCCTTTTCCGCTGCTATTAGTCATTCCTTGTTCGCTCTCTTCTGCAAACGATGTACCTGCAGAGATTCCATTGAACCATTGCTCCCAGTCAAATACCTGTGACGGAAAGAAATCTGGAAATTCCTGGAACTCGAATGGCAGAAACAAGTCATAGGCACTGGGTACAAAAGTGTCTGGATTGTTCTCAAGGGACATGCAGATTGGAGGGTCGTCTTGGTTGCTTGTCAGCAGGTTTTGAATCGACATTGCCTCATTGCTTAAGGTTGTGTTGACAGAAGTTTGCGAACACAAATTTCTGTCATACAACAGATTTGGCAGCAAGACCGCTTGACCTTCTGCTGTGGGCGCCGTCTCGTGAGAAAAATCATCTAATTTCTCAGCAGGGTTTGGGGTCTCGGAGACGGATGAACTAACATTCTGGGAGGGGATTTCGTGATTCATCTCCAGTTGTGGCTGGCCGTTTGCATGGCCATTGTGCATCTATGCTGCGTTAGTCAATTCATGGAAAAGGATCGATATCATTACAATTTCCCTGTTTGCGCTTTTTAGAGACAGATTCGGACTGGGCCATAAACTCAATGCTTTCCTCCTTCTCGAGGCTCAGCATGACGTGGCATGCAAGTCTTGAGAGGCCCAGAATTTGGACTACAGCGTCAATACCAAGTAATTGCATTCGACCTACAAATGCGTCAACTACCGGTTTCGGTGAGCGCCGACATCTGTGAATATCAGTATGCTTTGTCTAGAGTATGAAGGTTCGAAACTCACTTATTCGCCGTCAAACCAACGGGGAGTGCCATAAGATATCCGGGATTGTTGTTGAAGTGGCATTTTATTATGCGACTGAGCTCCTTGCCTTCTAATACAAGTCGTTGAATAGCACCCCGCAATTTCCCATCTTCAAGACTATCGTCATCCGAGAGTTCAGATTTGATATCTTGAACGAGACGCGCAAGTTGGCCGAATCTGAAATGTTCGCCATCGTGATATCCTTTTTTCACAACTAGGTTATAAAGGGCATATAGTGTTAGGCGTTCATAGAGAGGCATGAGTTGCGCACTCCTTGTGATCTGGAATGACTTTTCAAATATCCTGGCAACCGCCCCCTTTGCGCTGGCTTGGTGAGAATTGACGATACCAACCTGGTGAAGAAAATAATCCGGATCTTCCCTGCAATTTTGAAGCGCGTCATAGAGCGGGTGCGGGATTTCTATCTCGCAAGGCCCTAATGACTGTCCCTCGAGGGTTTGCAGGATATTTTCCTTCATTGCGTTAATTCCAAACCCCAACTCCGTGGTGACAAAGTAGCCTGTATCGTGCTTTCGAAGCAGCAGGCGAGAGATATCGACCTGTGCAAGAGACACCAAAGCTGTTGGACCCTTTGGCAGAGGCGTGTCTAAATCCAAGATAGCTGGACTAGCAAGCTGGTCGACAGGAAACGCTGCAGGATATTGAGTAAACCCAGCAAGGAAGGAATCCTCCGATCTTGGGATTCTACTTTCACGAGGGCTTTCAAGTGTACTGTTAAAGCTTGAACATCCAGCATCACCAGCGGAGTTTATATTTTCTTCAGAAGTGTCTCTGACTGGAGCTTCTTCTGTGTGGCTATTTGGATTCGTGGCTAGAGAACTTGTTGGGGTTTGGCTCAATGGCGATGGCGTACCTCCAGACAGGCTATTTGCCTGGTCACTATCCTCAAACCATTCGGTATTGGATTCAACTTGAGGATTGGGATCCGTGGTCAGAGAGCTCGCTTGGCTTTGGTCCAATGTAGATGAGATGTCCGGAGCGATGCCAAGTTTCCAGACATCAGTATGATTAATTTCATCGAGGTTCCGATTGATGGCCGCGGTGTTTGGGAGTACTTGCGACGAAGGCGCACTCTCCTCAGATTCGTTATGCGCCCATGCATTCTCGTCCTTAGCCTCTTCGACGTATGCCATGTACCGGCTCTGATCCTGCTGATCCTGAGGATTTACATGGATTTCAGATGCCAAAAAGATTTGCCGGGAAGCCCTTTGCCTCTGGACAGCCTCATCTTCAACCTCTAGATGTTGGGTTGATGATTCTGGCGTGAACGGGTTACTGTGGCGCGGTATGGGTGTTGCCGGGCTTCTCGGTCGGTATGCATCGGTTGGCTGATGGGAGAGGGTTCGCACGCGGCACAAGATATTGATAAATTTCTGCAAGGCAAGCAATTCTGAATCACCAAGCATAACAGAGCAAGCCCACAAACTTTGGTCTGTTAGCCTTTCTCGGTTTCCTTCCAACATGTACCACTTGGCTAGCTGGGAAAGAAGACCCTGAAGCTCGCCATCTATGGATTCCATCTAGAATAGCGGGAACCAAATCCAGGTGTAAAGAGCTTGTAGAGGAAGACGGGGTAGGATTGACACGAGCACGCCGGAGTAAAGAATTGATGTGACACTGACCAGTCCGAGGCGAGTCGGAGAGGCGTAGGCAACCGGCTATGTGCCTTATTGCCACCAAATCATCCCAGCAATGATTGACACTGGCTGTGTGTAAAAGCGCCCTGCGATCTCTTGGTTGTACTTTCTATCACCCTAGTGCAAGACTACACCGCTTCTCGTATGATGTGGCGGATAGACCTCGCCACGGCCCATTCATGCATCGGCGGGCGGAACGAATCCTTCGAAACCGCTCGTCAAGGATGTACAGTATTGCATACAAGGTTTGGTAATTTTTGTGTATAAGAATATTGATGGGAAGATTTAGGCTTGGGCACAGCCTATGGGATGCCCAAAAGAGCATAACTATGGTGAGGCCAGTTTTCGATCTAAAGTCAAAAATAGAAGACCGACGCGTGTGAGTCACGCTAGTCTAAAAGGGGTATAATCTGTTGCTTTCTGGCCAAAGAGCAACAGGTTATGCCTGTTCCAGCCTAGTATTCCAACAGACCCCGCACGCAGTTATGTTTCATCGCAAAGGGCCCGTGTTATTGTAATGCAAGCGTACTAGCTTACAGCAATGAATTTAACATAACTGTGAGTTGATTACGAAGCGTGTTGGGTAAATCATTTTCGTCAAACCGAATTCTACCCTTTGTCAGGAGCTAACTAGGCGTGCAGCTTTCCACTGGTTGGGGGGCCGCAACTACTTGATGGACCACCGAGCCAACTGCATTCCAGGAGCTATCGACTAATGTTTTAGTTTACGTTACCCTAGGGCATCAGTAGAGATCTCTCTGGGGGCCGGAGCGCCGATCGCCCAAAGCCCAAAGGTCACCATAATGTAAAATACGGCCAAGCAGGCGCTCGACACTATGAGCCCATTACCGTGAGGCACCGGTAAATTCCAAGTAGGAACACTTTCGGGCGAACAATATTTCGATGCTCGCGGACAAGACAGGACTGACTTGAAATGGCGTCGGGTTATTTTCCCGATCAATCAAGTTGAGCGCAACAATGGATTCTTCTATGGGCAACTCTACTAGATGGCTACGACCTATGGAAGGTATGCGTCATCGCATCCACGGATTCCTTGCTCCGATCCTTACTGTACTAAGACAGATCCCTTTTACGCTGCCCCCAACAGAGCGGGTTACAGGAGCCCGATTCTTAGCAACAAAATTTCAGCAGTCCCATTTAAGTATGCATGTAATCCGCAACCATGAAGGCGGCACAAAACTGGGGTGACAAGAGCTACTTACGTTTTGTCCCTGGTGCATCACTCAATGTGATAATCAGTCTGACTGAGACGCTTAAATACCAGTCGTGCGCCGCCGAAATCTGCGGTGAGCATACAACAGTATTTTCTCCATTCCCAAGCTTATTCCATCACTTCCTTAACATCATGGGCTTTTCTATCATTCCAGTGGAAGAGCTCAATATTCCCCTTCGTCGATCTTCAGGCAAAGAATCTAATATCGAGCGGTTCTCTGCCAGTACTCTTGTTTTCCTTTTTGACCTCCACGAACCACCTACCGCATACGTCCTTCTCCATAAACGGGCTCTACTCGGCAAAGAAGAGAACGGCAATGACAAGCCGAACTCATGGGCCTTTTCCTGGGGGCCACCTGGGGGATCTCAAGAGATATTCGACAAAACTATTCTGAATACCGCGAAACGTGAGACGGAAGAAGAAGTCAACTTGCACGGCTCGCGTGTTTCTCGTCTGGTCTACAGGGATTCCTGGATGCATAAGGGAGTTCAGATGGCCAGATATACATTTCCTCTGGAAGTCGATGAGCAACTCAAGGTCCAACGAAGGTGGTGCGACAGAAAGCAGCAGCCCGTCGGTAGGAATGAAGGGCCCATACGGTTAAGGGAAGATGAACACCTTGATTACTGTTGGGCCACGGAAGCACAAATTCGTGATTCATCTCTCTACAACGAAAAGAATCCTCAGCATCAAAGAGAACTTGTTATGCTTGAAAGCAAGGAGATGATCCTCCACGCTTTTACGCGATTGAAGAATTCTCAACTTGATGACATACGCTCTGTCCATAGATTAATGATGGAATATTACCTTTCGGGCGAATCATCTGAGATGCATCGCTTGAGGTCACACTGAGCCTTATATATGTTTATTTTGGACAGAAGACTCGTTAATGAAATCTGTACGGAGTGGGGGCTCAGAGAAAAAAATATAACCTCATCTGGATGGCGATATTGATGTTGGCAATTGTTGAGGTATACAGAGATTAAGACATTCGTGCGACATGTTTTCCTCTGTCAGGCACGTCGCCAATTCTAGAATTAACAATGACCTGAAAGTCGATACGGCTGGGACGTAAAGTAACCTAAGATAACCCGATCATATGAATCAAGATAAGCCGAACGTTGCTTCTCCCGGAAAACCTTGCTTCATCGGATCCACTAAAAATACCTAAGCCGTTCCGTTACGCTCCTCGGGACTGCAAAGCTGATCCCTCAACATGCGGCAGAAAGCAACAAACCTGGGACCATTGTGCCACCGACGATACCAGTGTTCCTTGTGTGAGCCCCCCGCACGCACTACGTTGAGAATATGGAATACAAGGCGCAAGAGTGCTGGATGGACTCATTTCAGGAATGCCTGTCGCGAAGGATGGAAATCTGACCGTAATTTCGGTCTTCCTGTCAATGTACGCGAAGTACAGTTCAGGTATTGCGCCCCATTGTCGGTGCATTGGCTTACTGCTTGGGTCTTGTCGTATATATTGATAATTTGATATAAATCACGAGGGCCCCCAAGCAGAAGGAACTATTGCAAATACGAATCTTTGGTATATGCGCGCCTGCGACCCAGTATGGAGAAACTCCTCTCTGCAGCAATTACATATCTCATGGTCTTGAAATTAGAAGTGAGCTCTCTTTTCCGTACTGAGGAAATTACTAACCACTTGATCAGCCCTGGGACATGTTACACTTCAGGGAGCAACATGGGAAAGCGGTGACAATAGGAGCAACTGGGTGGAAGCTAGAAATCTCCCTCGATGAGTTGAAAAGCTCGATATTTGGGTGCGCAATTCTCCTCGACCATGGAGGACACTTTTGGTCCATAATTTGTCACACACTACAGAATTGGAGAAATCCAGAGTGGAAGCCTCTATCCGGGACCGACGGCTTGCGAGTTGGCAGCAAAACTCAAAAAGGACTACTGCATCTATGTCCTGTCCTTTATAGGAATACTTTCTCTTTGATTCCATTCTGCATGCTGGAAATGACGACACCTGGTCAAATAATGATTTGGCAGGCGGAGAACCCGGTGACCCAGTACACGCTCCACTGAGCATTGATGTTTGGAGCATTTACCGGGTGAAGATACTACTAGGGTCAACTTGGAATGCTCAGTGTTAGGAGTTCAAATTTACAAGGCGTTTTGTCTTTGTTGGGATAAACCAGGATATGCATCCACTTGTGATTACTTGCAAGTTTCCAAGGTTTGTTATATTTTTGTTATCTTTTTCAGAACTCAATACAAATTGCCAGAAATCGGGGTATAGAAATAAAGAGCTGTTAATGTCTGCTGATTGGGCGCACAAAATTGCACCAACAGTCTTTACCCTCATGAGGTCAGTGTTAGCTTTCAAGCACGTACAGATCCAGTTACTTCGATCAATTGAACTGTCCGCTCCAGGATAGATGTTTCTCCACCGATAGTGTGATCCTTTGAGCAACAAGCACCAACAGCGAGCAATTCTCTGGATCGGAGTAAAAATCAACGCTCTGATTGGCTATAAAATTTAAAAAAAACTCTAGAATGTGAGATTCCTCTGCTTCTAGCCAACTTGCAGCAAGGCCGAGGGAAAAAAACAAGTAAGAATGGACGACAAAGATTAAGGATTGGAAACGATGAATAACCCGGCTTTTTCCCCCGGCAAAAATACGATAGAAGAGTGTCGTGATCACGATCGATACTCGATGTGTCCCATATAGCGCCATGGCAAACTCTTGTCTTTCAGTCACCGCTACGGAAACTATATCTGTCAAGTATAAAGGCCAATGGTTTAAGACCAGTACCGAAATATATTCTTGTTTATGGCTTCTTTGTTAAACATCAAATGATGCAGCCAAAACATTAGCCAGTTATCACAAGCCAAGTACACCTATTTACCACGCTCTAAATCGACCATAATGAACTCCTTATACTTCTTCCCACGTGCAGATCCTGTGATTTCGCCCAATTGAATTCTCGTATCCTCATTTTGAGCTGGTGTATTATTATTTTATGTGCACTCTACTGTATCACATTGCTGCACAGCCACACTCAGATATACAAGTTTGAGGGGCCGTAATTATTGATTAAGAATGGTGTTGTCCTTTGAGCGTTGATCCCTCGATTGAAATCCACTATAAAACCTTCATTTTCCACTGATCATTTCCTTTGTAACAACACTTCAACTCACTTCAGCATTATTTCTATACCATATTAGATGAAAATGTCTACTTATAATGAATCTCCAAAAATGCCCCTCCAAGCCCTTCACTCTTCGAGAGCATCGAGGAGCTACGATTAGATCTTGTACAGTCCGCAATTGAGTCCGACATTCTCTCCGAACCGCTCGGCTCCCACGAGGCCCTTCATTTATTTCTTCAAGAACTCAGCAAAGAAAGTCCGCAACCTTTGATTGAGAGGGCAATTAAAACTGTCTTGGAAAGCCAATCGCTACGGCAAAAGATCGAGGTTCAGTGGAACCTCTGCCGCGATTACAACCATGCCAAAAGCCGCCAGAATATGATGAAAGAGGGTGCCCCCTATGATCTGGCCTCATGGTCTATCAAACATTGCTCTCGGTGCTTCAAATTACTTTTGAAGTATCGAGCAGTTCAGCCTTCTTCATTTTGCCAAGCTGGCTACAGCTTCTTTTGGCTCGCGGTCAGGAGTGACCAAGATGACTTTTTGATACAACGCCTCTTGTCTTTAATGGAACCCAAAGATCTTTTGAGTCCTTTTCTGACGGGGGAAGCGAATGGAGACCGATGCACAATCTTTCAGGCCTCTACATGGAATCGAAAATGGTTTCAGGTCTGCTGGGCACGGCTTAAACCATTACCGGACAATGGTCTTACTTCACTTGGGCCAGATGAAATCAGAAATATATGGCAATTTTCCATGTGGACCTTGCAAACAAGTTATTGGACTCGGGGCTAGATCTGGGAAAACCTCACCCTGAAAATGCATCACCTGGTTGGTTGGAGATAGTGGATCGAATAAATCCAGTGCCATTGTTTGATTGGCTCTTGAGCCGTGGCCACCAACCCCCGAAAAACTCCTGACGTACGCCGCAACACACAATTGCATTCTTGGGGCGAGCTGGATTATGCGCCATACTGAAAGCCACCGGGACTTGAGTGAAGCTGCACTTGTAGCGGCAGAAAGTGCAGTTAACCGAAGCGCGGAAATTCTGGAAATCATTCTACGAAACCCAGCTGTAGAGTGGAAAGCAGACCAGACTCTGTCAGAGAATATTGTGATAAAAACTGTCAACGGAGTGTGCCAGGAAAGAAAGGAATGTGCAGCTATGCTATCAGAAGACTCTTTCCAGGACATGTTCGCAAGAATGGAGGATACTGCGGTTCGAAAGATCCAAGCCCTAGGTGAAGTAGTCGGGAATGTTCAAGTTCTGGGTATCAAGATCACGGCGGAGGACGCTGGACTATATCGCCTTGCGACAGTTCTGGAGAACATGGACTCCCGCTTGTAGTTTCAATTCCTTCATCAATGGCTGAGCCCGCTCACGATACTGTGAAATTGACTTCGATCACACCTGCTGTTGTAATCTCCAGATATTGAAACATGGCCCTTAGGGTATTTCAACAATGGACCCATTCAGTCTTTTAACTCAGTCCAATTATTGCGTTGTCTTCGTTAGCTACCTCCATTAAGCATGCACTATCATCGGATTAGAACTGTCGTGTGATAAGCCACGGTTCTGGGACATCTAAGCCATGTAGCAACTTCATCTCATCAGCTGATCGCCAAAATAGAGAAACAAATGATCCCGTATTTACCAGAGTTTTATCTATAAGTATGAGGATTCTACTTCAGGTTTGAGCAAAGCAAAGCTAATTATTGTGGTTGTGTCTCAAGAGGTACGGGGTGGTATGTACGACCAAAGCGCTGAAATTGTTTGGCCTAATTTGCTGCCCACAACAGCACAGGGTATGCCGAGTCATCTCTAGGGTCGGATAGTATCCTTGAGCTTCCAAACATCATCAACTTGAGGCAAGTTCCAGAGAATGCTGCCCACAACAGAATCGAAAAATTACCAATAGACCTCATATATTACTTTAATAATATTCAGAAAACCGTACCTATGTGCTTAAATGGTAAGTAGACACCAAAATGGGGGCCCTAGCTAAGACTGCCCCGCAAAACTGTGGGTATTCACCCACTGGGACATTACGGTCACTAAATGGGCGTGGTAGTGATATAACCGCCATTTCCTAACTTGGCCTAAGCTTATACACCTGGGTAAACCGGTAGCGTCGCCTTTAGAACTATTTATCCACGTCATTTCCATTCCTACCTCTCCAAAAACCTTTACTTCGACCCTACCTTCGGAGGAAATATTGAATCTGTTTTCTCGCCGATCACTTGTTGCGAATCTCACATTCCTATATTTGCTATTATCGCTGCTAGGAAACCTCTTAGAAGCTAAGACTTGTCATTGTAGGTACCCTTTTTGGTCATTCCCGTCCATCAGCTTACCTTTTTTAATACCCAGCCAAAAACCCAGATCGCAAAATGAGCAACAATCGGATTCCCGTACGCTTAGATGCCCTCGGAAGCACTCAAGATCAGCCTACAAACCCGACGGGTGATGTCGATGAAGCAGTTCGGCTTGACTTTCTAGCGCTTCAGACCGCTATTGATCCGTGCTCTTAGAGAGCCTTGGGATGCAGCTGGATGTTCGATACCAGCAAACACAAAATCCCAATGATCTCGACGCAGCAGTAAAGTGTTGTCAGCTTGCGGCTAGAACGACTGCTCATGTCGACTATGCAGCGCGCTTAGATCGTCTAGTGGGATTATTCGACTCTCGATTCCAATACCTAGACCAAAACCCACGTCGCGAAATGAGCAACAATCAGCTTTCCCAACACTTAGACGCCCTCGAAAGCAGTTCCCACGCTCAAGATCAACATACAAACTCGATGGATGATGTCGATGAAGCAGTTCGGCTTGGCTTTCTAGCGCTTCGTGTCGCTGTTGATCCCGCGCTCCTCGAGAATTTTGGGAGGCAGCTGGATATACGATACGAGCAAACACAAGATATCGATGATCTCAACTTAGCGATCGAGTATTCTCGGCTTGCGATTAAGATGACTGCTCATGACCATCCCGACTACAAAACGCGCCTGGATCTTCTGGCGGGACTACTCGATGTTCGATTCCAATCTACGGGATTTTTGCGTGACCTTGATAATGCGATTCAACTCACTCGTAATGCAGGCCTCGCCACAAGTCATAACGACTATGAAATGGCAAGGTACTGGTTCGACCGCGGGGAAAGGCTCGGAAGACGGTTTGGCTCTGAAGGAACTATCGTCGATCTTAACGACGCGATTTGGTTCCTTTCCCTAGCACTTAGAGCCACTACTGAATTTTCGCCTTTCTTCGTCGATCGCTTGGTTGAGCTCGCTTTCAATTCCAAACTTCGATACGACACATTAGCTGAGATACAAGATCTCCAAGCGGCGATTTCACTACGTCAACGGGCTCTTCAGGCTACCGACGATCAACATGAATTACGGTTAGATTGCCTGCGCGACCTCGGAAGCGACCTGGAAGCCCGATATAGACATATCGGAGAGGCCTCTGACATCCAGGAAGCGATCACCCTAGCTCACAATGCAATGAATACAATGGTGGCCATTAGCCCTAACTATTATTTGCTTAGGGATTGCTTCTATGAGCTCGGGACTAAGCTCGGACTTCGATACGAAAAGGCAAACACGATAGATGACCTCAATGAGGCCATTATATGGTCTCGCAAGGCGGTGGGTGCTATTGGGGCACGCATTGAGGTTTTTCGCCACCTCGAACACTTATTAACACTTCGTTACACGAGAACACACCAGATCAATGATTCTGAAGAAGCATCCAAGTGAACAGAAGAAGCAGCGAAGTGGGAAAAGGCAGTTTAGAAGGATCATTGGCCTTTGTTTGGCACATTATTTTCTGGTCACACCTTGTCCGACACTTTTTTTCTGCAGATCTTTTGTATGTTTTCCTTGTCTTTCCATAGTCTTTTCTTTGGTTGATTGCTATTTATGGTAACGTCCGTATGAAACAGCTCGCCAGGCTTAGTGCGGATTGACTTGTTCTTGTCGAAAGGTAGAGCCCAGCTGTTACCAATAACACAAGGTGCACAAAGCCGAATCAATGCTGAGTTTTTCTTGATGTTCAAGCCCTCTGTATACTCCTGAGTCTTCTTGACAAGTGCCTCATCAGCGTCGCAAGCTAGACGGTGTCCCAGGTTTATAGTGATAGCTGCAGGCTCACTAACATCGGATGCTGCCGTGTACAGATTGCCATCTTCAGGTGAGTCAGTACTTGAGGAAATACAAGGGCTGGATAAAGTAATTCGATTAATCTGTATAGGACATATCCGTCTTCAAACGATCATGCGCTAGTCAATCTCCTTTATCAAATGAGCGCTTCGTTGGAATAGCAAATGGAAATGGCACAGCATTCGCAAGGCCAGCCATATTTGCCTCCCCCAGCTGCCAATGAATGGCCTCTGCCGCACGCCACGGAACGCCCAGCTCGTTTGCTAGGTCCTTCCACATCTGTGATTTAATTCTGTATTACGAGCTCAGTCAGTTTGCTTCACTCACAAGGCCGCAAGAATTTATACGACCGCATATATCTAGCCCCATAAACTCACCTGTGATATATACGGGCCAGCTTTACCTTCTGAGTTTCGTCCCACTCGTCGTCTTTCTCGAGGTAATTCTGATGATGAAGATGGCAACTTGTCAAGCTACGTTCGGGTAGCTGTTTGCTGATATCCTGTCGCTTTATGCCCTCGTCACAAAGCCTGATGATTGTTTCATCCTCGGCGGGCAACCTGTTCGTTTCGGGAGGCCTAACAATAGGTAACGAGGTAGAACGTTTGGGACCATTCGGTGGTCCGGTTGGGAGAATCTGCGATGCCCTGTGGTAGGGCCAAAGCAGAGCCGGAGCCATAACCTCTGGCTGATTGGAGACTTGACTAGGTGTTTCATTTGCTGCGTTATTTTCGGCGCGGATTTCGTGTTTGTCAGGGGCGGTTAAAAGCTTTGAGATATCCATATTGGCAACACCAAATTCTTGAAGTGCTTATTGAAGTAAAAAACGGTGATCCAAGAGAAACTAAACTAAGCAGTATCAATAGGCGAGATGATAGGGTGATCGGCGAAAAAGAAAAATGGGGCTCTGGCAATATTCACGAAGAATGAAGGACACTCACAGAGCGAAAAGCCTGTGACTAAATAGTATTTTTCGTACTTACGTACAACCAAGACCTGTAGTATAAGCCTCGTTGGCACGAAAAGAACCAAACTCTCAGCCACTCCCAGAGGCCCTTTTGTTATATGACAAATCATCTTTGGTTAGAATTTTGCGAAACTGAAATGCCATTCGCCTTTGGATGAATCTCCCTAGCGCAGCATCTGTTATAAATATGGAATGGTATGGCATCTGCTTATTCTTTAGCCAAAACAAGAGTGAGCTATGGTCGGCCAGAAGGGCTGCTTGGGTTATTCAAATTTTACTTTAAACTAAGGAGAAAATATACATCTTCTTGGATGTCCTCTATTCTACTAGAGTGGTCACCCACACTAAGCCAGGTGCGTCGAACTCCAACATATTTCAATAGAGCTTATTAGATAAGTAGTTAATGGGCATAGGACGGGGATTTGAAAACATTTGAGTAAGGCAAGGCAATAAACCGATCCAATGCCTGATCTCACTTCGAAGTTGTAAAGACAAAACTCTGCTTCCCACTGAACCAAACCACGAGGCTCATCATAGATAGGGTTGAGACTGTCCAGAATTTCGGAATGAGTTGGAGCTTGTCCGTTCATAGGGTGAAGCATATTTGTATGATATCGCACAAAAACCTCCTGTTTCAAAGCAATGACAAGCCAGGTAAAAAGGCCCTGCTCGATCCTCGCAAACCAATAATCTGAAATTCGATCCCATAGGGCGTAGTATAAAGTTCGTCCTAGTGGGCGTGCATGTGTCCACAATGGGCCGATTTCCATCATAACCGGATATACCTGATCTGGCGAGAAGGTCATTACATGTGGTAGACCGTATTTCTTTTGGCATGCACGTATAGTATGGTTTTGAAGGGGTGACATATATCCGAACGATGTCTCATGGACCCTGACAACTTTTTTTATGGTCAGCAGCTAAGGGTGGAGGTTGAGGTTCAATAGTGAGACCTTTCAATAGTGGGATATAGACTTCGCGTAGATTGGCGGTGGCTGTAAAGCGAATATTCTCCTCTATAAGAAGCCACTCATCATCACCCTAGCAAAAGTAGAATCTACCGACCCCTAAGGCTTCCAATCGCAGGTGCCTTTCATATGGAACTACTCATAGTCAGAAATGTGATTCGACGGCGATGATAGTAGGTAGTTTTGTTTGGAACAGTACTTCGAGAACTATACCGTTACAATCGAGTCATATTAGCTGTCCCACTGGCACTAGCCTCAATATTGCGTGCGGTAGCCAATAAAAAGAGTCAACAAACGGGACATGATAGGTCAGCAGGAATGCCCGTAGAGTCCTAGTCTAGCGCCGGGGTTACTCGGGTACCCTGGACTTTTTCTTGGCCCACAATGAATGCCTAGTATAAATGGAGCCTCCCCAATATCTTTGGCCACTTGTGAGTTTGCATCCTAATTTCACACTCTACAGAATCCCAACTACGTTTGTTAGTTATTTACATAATAAATGCCAAGGCCCCTCGCTTGGTTATTCGCTTGATGGTGATTCTATGGTAACTACCTTGTGAAAAGAAAGGGAATTCGCGGATAAAATATTGAATAAGCCGCATTAAAAAAAATGAGGGGCAAGAGGAAAATGCTTTAGTATGGTCCTATATTCTGCCATTCTCTGACCGTTGATTAGTAAACTTGACGGTCACTGTACTATATGACGGCATAATATAAAATTACCCATTGCGTGTTTTGATTCTGATCTCTAGAGCAGTGGAAATTTCAAATTTTATCATGGTCGATAGCCATAACGAATAGCTAGGTGAAATGCCTGCGCATTTTGTACGGGTGCGTGAGACCAATGAAGATCAGGCCGCGGTGCATCAAGCACTTTTCGGGTTGACGTTGTACTCGCCTTCTGTTTGCCCAGGGAGGTCAGATAAGGAAAGCGTATCATAGGGTCGAAGTTGATGAGAATCAGCATATGGTGATGGGGGGGGGGGGGGGGGGGGGGGGCAATTCTTCTGCAGGGGTAGAGTATATGAGCGACCGCTGGTCATAAACAGCCCGAACAAGACTGGTGGACGAGTCGGCCCTTTTCCTCCTCCGCTTGTATAGAGAGATCAGCCCCCATTTCGTTGATAGGGCCCTCACGATGCTCATAGCGCCAAAGACGTCCATTGCCCAGGTTGTTTTCATGATCCGGGGAGTAGCATGACCAGTGGTAGAAGGAAGACTCTTGCTGGTCTATTATTGACACCACATAAAGATGCCCCTGGTAGATCTCAAAGCATACTCTCTTGCCAAGCTCGCCATCGACAAGAAATTCTACGGAAAACTCAGTTCGTTGGAGAGTTTTGAATTGCATGCCCCGCAATACCCATGCACTCTGTCGGCCATTGACGGCCGTGAACGTGCCAAACCAGATATACAGACGGGTATGGCGGACAAAAATTGGATCCGAGGAGGAGACTGATTCTTAGAGAAGCAAACGGCTCTGTCGAGCCTGGTCTGGGCGGGGCTGTATTCTAATCGCGACCAGATCAGCATCATTTGAATTGGCTTGGCTAAACAGAAGGATTAGGATCCCGCAACTGAAACGTAGAAGGGTAGGTTGTTCTCCCACGTCCGAGAGAATGTATTCAATTCCGGTGTCGTAGCTGTTCATATGGTCGAGGTCCAAAACAAGCTCTTTTTGGCCTGTATTGTGTACATCAAGCAAACGAATTTGGTTTTTGACTCGATAACACAGAAAGCCTTGGTGGTACAAGAAGTCTGCGGCATAAGCCAGCACTGAAACAGAATATGGGGACGCAGTAGCAACCGCCTCATGAACATCAAACCGATGTCTGATGGCCTGATAATAGCCGGTCTTACTGGCCCAAGCTGCTTGTCCTTCTTTGCTGCAAAGCAGAATGTTCTAAGATATGTTTCAGCATGGTGTGTTGGTCCATAGCGGGTAGAAAGCTTTCGTTTCCTCATTCGTTGTTGCTCACCTTGACAGTAGCCCGTGCAATGATGATATCTTTCATTGAGCGAAACATTGAGCGGCTCCAGTGACTGAGGTGTATGTAGTCTCGAATGTCGAGGTAGGCTGCTATTCGAAAGAGAACCTCGAATAGTAAGGACTCCAAGGTAGGTGATGACGACATATTCATCGACAGAGCCAGAGATTGAGGGCAGAATTGGAAGGGCGCATTATATGATGGTAAAAACATTCAGACAGCAAGTGGCAAAATGAAACTCTAGATTTGTTTGGTCAAGGGGCCTAGGCCTGAAATAGGGCTCCCGTGGTGCCAAGCTGGCCATCGAGCCCCTGGAATTTCATCGGCCAATGATATCTCTATCTTACCTGCTGATTTTGATTGACCAACGAGGATTATAGCGGCGCCGATCCATTCCTCTTACGATATGGATGTTCCCAGAACCCAAAGTGCTGCCAGGCAGCGCTATTCGACGGAAGGGAGCCAAGATGGATCAAGCACCAGAGGTATATCATTGAATAGGAATTCGGGCCAGAAAAAAACAAGTGGGAGGCTTTGGACTATTGAATACATATGCAGAAACAGCCACTAATGAATCTAATCGTACTTGACCCTGGTATTTCTGTAATAAATTAATATGCATTGAAGGTAAGACTGACAATATCGTGGGGGCCTAATGAGCACGTATGCCAACTTTCCATGTTATTACAATCATCCCAATGCCTTTTTGGTCAATGCAGGATCAACTGGGACTAGACATCTGGTCCCATCTTGGAGCGCGGGAATACTAGTCTGCTGGGACAACACGAAAATTAATGGTGGTTATGGAGCGTACGTTGATTCCTACAAACATTGACATGGATTACGTCTCAACTATGCAAGAACGTACGAGGGCGACATAGTAAGGGAGTGTCGTGGGATCTGTACAGTATTTCTATCGACCGTCGACCGACCATGAAGGCCTTCAACCTTAAAACATCAATTCCATGACGACGATCAATGACCACGCTCATCCCGTTGCTTTTGCTTGCACAGATAGAGTCCCTCAAGCATTCACCCTGTCAATATCTACCATATTTCTCACAGACGCCTCAAGACCATGTTGTCCAAAACTCATAAGCCCTTCGCCATATAGCCTTGCACGATGCTCAACAGCTGCATGGAATGGGTGCTTGCAAAATAATTCGCAACTCGGATAGAAGCTGATCTCATGAACTTCGCTTTGACTTGCTCAATATGTATTCTTTTTCCTAGAGTATATCTCTTGATCAAGGCACGCGCGCAGGTCGGGATAGTAGGCTGGCCGGTGGGTGACAGTAAATGCAGTGGTATCCTCAGGAGAAAGCTAGGTTCAAACTCCTGTCGGGCTTGAAAGGTCGTTCGAGGATGAAAGTGTATGAGGTGTGGAAGGGGTTCGTGCTGGAGCACAGGTCGCAGGTATTTTGGCCGATGGTTCGCTTTTGAACTGATTTCCTATGGTCTAAGTCAGTACTGTAGTTCATGAAAGCATTCAACACTTTGGTAATTCCAACCTCTCTCTCTCGAGCCTAGCTAAAAGAAGGATGTTCAAGCCCGCCTCAGTCACTTCTCTCTTTTTGGCGCTTGTGTAGTATATTATTCTTTCAACGTCTCCGATGCTCAGCACGTAGTATTGTCTCATAGCTTTCGGGATCGGGGTTGTGCTAGAATGAAGTTGGGCTCTAGCGATATTTGGGACGAAGGTGATGGCGTGGATGGCGTTGCCAAAAAGGAACTATACGGTTTTTTCGGAGACGAAATGGTAGGCTTAGGAGCTATTCTCATGAAATCTGTCGCCTATTGCAGGGATTCTAGACGATAGACATTTCGAAGCGTAAGGTCTGTATCGGGCCACTAGAGGGGCCTTTGTAGCCGGATGAGAGATCGTCTTGGGCGCCCATGTTGATCTGTTGTGAAGGCTCTTCAGCGGACGCATGAATGACCTCAAGTATTAGCAGGCGAGGAAAGTCTGACCAAAGCTGTCTCTCAATATGAGGCATATATGATGGTGGATAAGAAAAGCAATTGTTGCGCTATAGGCGGGCAAGCTGGGCCTCTTCTATTATTGAGGGAAGGGGATTCGGTAAGGTCCAATTTCCTAGAAAATAAAAGAAAAAAAGTAAATTGCAACATAGGCATTCAATGTGTCTATTGGGAGGAGGACTGATGGTGGTACGAGACAAGCAGGAGCAGGATAGTTGGGTGCGCCGGGGCAGGGTGGCGAGCAGGTGACCGAAGTGTGCCTTACCCAAAACGGACAGTCAGTGATACATTTCTCCTTTCCCCAAGCCTTCCTCGCATTCCCAGGATCCAACAACAACACATACAATGTCAAACGAATCAAGGCCTTTAATATCTTTAAAGAGCTCACATGCATAACTGAAAACATGATTTGACACCTTCCGAGAAACGAACGTCCCCGAAATGCTACGCAAGCGAAGAACTTTGGAGATCCTTTCAAGTTACTACTGCTTGCCTGTACAGCCAACGAATGCAGTACTGATAGAAGGATTGCTGTTAGAGAGTAAGTCAAAAGAGGTCTCTCTTGACTGACGATGTGTCCGAACTCTTAATGGGCGTCCGCTTCCTATTCTTCACCTACACTTACGTCCCCTTTTTATCTTTTCACATCTGCTCAGTTGCTGCAGACTAACTCACATATTCCTAGAGCTAGCTGGCTTCCTTCTCTCTATACGAAGAGTTAGCTTCTTACCCAATTGTCAAACAAGCACGAGACGGTTAATTTTCAGAGAGCGCCATATGAGCTCGCACGCTATGCAAGGAAGCCGTAACGCAGTCTGTTGAATGCCACATTGCCTGCCCACAGTGAAAACCAACCACCAGCTAATGATCTTGACATTCTAGAGCGGTGTTTACGTGAACTAGTCGGTCCGATCTAGTGTACTGTGCACCATGCGAATGAAAAGGAGCGAACGATGAATCCCTGCACCGAGCATAGTCCTGTGATGAAATGTTCAAAACAGTGTTCGGGATGTGGTGTGTACATGAGTCCTTCAAACGTACAGCTGCAACCCCCAAGATTGGAGGCTGTCACGATGGAGCCAGTAAACACGGAAGGCATACTACTGGACGCAGGGTTGTTGGACTTGACAATTTACATTCTATGCCTCAATAGGAGTAATGGCACCGAGAGGAGCAAACGGATGGAAATCTCTGGAACAGCTCCTTGGAAGCAGGTTTAGGAAAGGGACAGTAGCGGCATTGTTTCCAATACGGTCAGTACGGCATTGAGGGTCTTGAATATGTGACATATACCAGAAATTAGAAGATGTTTAGTCTATTCAAATGTGAAAACAAAAGCTAGCAGATTGCATAGAAAGAGCAAAAACTATTCGCGATCTCCCGGGAGAATCTTATCATTCGTCTTGCTCATCATGGTTTGCCTAGGCTAAGTCTTTCTATCCATCCACCAATCTCAAAATATACCCGCGGATTCTGAAGTAAGTGATACTTCTCCGCATAGGTATATATGTATTTCAACAACTCGAGCGCCTAATCCCTGATAATGAAGCCTCGCCTAGGGCCTGAAGCAATGAGGCATTCCAGGAGAATGAGATTAGGCTTTCGAAAGGAACAAGTATCTGGACCGCAGTGCTTAATAGAACAGTAATGAGTGTTGCGTCAGCACCTTTGATTTCTGTTGTCCAACCATCAATCGTCTGAAGTTCCAGGTTGAATGCACGGAAATTCCTAGCGATCTCGCGCAACACCCTGATTGACTGTAATACCTGAAACTTCAAAGCTTTCTGTAGAATCTCGGCTGGAGTTTGCGCAGTGTCATCTTGGTGGTTTAAAAGGTAATTAGGCGGCCAAGAGCGTCGGCTCTGTGTGGCTGAATCGTGTGTCGGCGCTGATAGTGTTTTCGCCGTGCTGTAAGAGTCTACTTAGCCACTGCGAGGAACCTAAATTCGGAAGTACAGCCATACGAACCTCACTTCATCATCTCTCACTGGTTGGTTAGTCGTCTCAGTAACTTCAGATACCGTTCGAAGTACCTTTTTGGCTGTCCTCTAGACCTGTTCGTGGTCCAACTGTATTTGCCGCTTCGAGTGTTTTCATCGTCTCAATTCTTGATGCTGCTTATGGTGTTCTTCTGTGTTGCAGTCCCTTAAAGGTGACGTTGGCGCTGATCGATGCGGCGTTCGAGGTCTTAGTTCTGGGTATCTCAAATTTGGCTGAGACTGAGTGACAGTTGAAAGTGCAGGTGCCGTCATCCAGTTTCGGTATTGTTGAAATCCCCAAGAAAAACCACTTGCTTCGCCGATAACAGGAGACGGGTCCATCAGCGGAGCGTACGCCGGGTCACACATATATGGGTAGTATGTCGGGGATCTTATGAACGGGAAGCTTGTACTGACGTTTGATGGGTTTTCGTCATGGTACATACTGACACAATAATGAGTGTGATTAGATTTTCGTATGTCTAGATAGCTCACGGGGTCGGGTTACCTGAAAAGACTCCCATGTAGCGGACTTGACGAGTAGGAAGAAGTCTGTGCCCTGCCTGCAGGTCAAAAAGTGCGTACGGATTGGAATGTGCGATCTGTATTTCTGTACATGAGACTGATTCTCTCTTCTGGCCTGGAAAATGACGCTAAATGCGGCCATTACAAGCGAATACCCCAGGAAGCGATCTTGTAAGGGGCCAGTGGATCTTCCGGCAGAAGGAGCCCTTGCCTAAACTAGATGTTCCGATGTTGCCCGGATCGGCCTCAAATTCTTGGTGCAAACCTTCGCTACGCCCATATTCTAGTTTCAACGCAATCAGGCTAGCTCAATGGTTGATCATCTGTTAAGGGGCCAAAGCGACAGTTCTACCGCTAAAATGGTAGCAGGGCAGCATATCTAATGTGTTAAAAGGTAACTTATCTCATAATCCTTTCTCTGCGTCATCTTCATCGCTGGTAGTACTCCTGGAGCATAGTCTATTGGACTGGGGGTTCTTTATTAAGTATGATGCAACATGGCATGAGTTGGTCGTCATTTATTCTTGGTGCTGGTCCCTAATGCTTGGAACGCGTGGGCTTTGACCTCAGCCCCTTTGCGCTATCGGCCACATCGTCCGCGTCTTAAATGGCTAGTACCGTCGCCAAGGGCCCACACAGCAAATTTACAGAATAAGTCATCCAAACGCCAATACCACGTATCTGTGGAGCTATGCTAGTATTCAATCAAGGTAGTCACGAGCCACTCGCATCCATGGTTCCCAGCCTATTACGCATACCCTTAACCTGTAGAGAGCCGACTTGTGGTTCCGGAGAGAACCCTTTCACCCATAGCGCATTTCACATACCTACCTTCCTCACAGTTTCCAATGGCACTAGTGGATTTCTCTGGGCAGAGGTCAGGTCGATATGGCCGTCGAGCCGCATGGGGTTGAGCAGGTCAACCAATACTTTACCAATTTCAGCTGCTCTCGATTCTCAAAACTAGACCTACTATTCGCGCCCGAGCCCGGACATTATCAAGCAGAAACCTCATTCTGCATACTCACTCAAATACGCCAAAAAATACTGCAACGAAACAAATAACCCGTTGCTTTTATAGGATACGAGGCTCGCAGATTGGTTTGCAACGGAGATCAAACGGCTTAACAAGCTACTCGACTATTATAGAAGCCAGTCTACGGGGTCGCCGGAAAGCTAAATGCCATAAAGATGGGCGTCATTAAATGCCCAGCAAGTGTGATTCCTGGTAACAGGTCTTAGATATTGTTGATCGCTATGATGCAATCTATAGTGTTACAGTCTTTCTAGGGTTCCTGGATATTTTACTTTCGCTTTGCCCGAACATAAGGGCTTCCGGCGCTTTGTAGACCAGTCGCCTCGCATATGATTTCTCTGTGTCGCTTTTGCCTGGGTATGTGGCTTCAGATGGCAGATAATGTCTCTTGTATCTCGGATGATTCATATTGCCATGACTGAGTCTCTAAATCTTTGATAACTAATGTTGGTTTTTGGCTGCTGAGAGGGCTTGCGGAGTACGGACCGGGTCTCGGATGTGACCACTTAGAAATGAGAAGATGATATAGTATCAATATTCGGAATGACTATGAGGTGCGATAAAAGGGGTAAGCTAGTAGTAAAAGCCCATATATTAGAGAATTCCCGTTACCCAAGGCTAATTTTGGAGACTTCAACAAGTTGAAAGATGGTGGTGCCGCCAGCCTAAAGGACAAACGAGATTATACAAAGGAAAAGGAATGCCACCGCAGAATGAATCCAATGCAAATAAAAAGGCGCATACGATAGGAATGAAGGGGTAAGAAGGGCAAAGTATATATGTATCTTGCAAAAACCAGAAATCATGTGGCATGCTGTCATGTGAACGCAAGACGTCACTGAATAGTGGTTCATTGATTTCTCTCGTCACCTATCACGCTGATGCATCCTCTAAATCATGTTTGAGGCGTTTGTTGATATTGACAAGGATCCTATAATCCTTGGAAGGCAGGCCTGTTAGTTGATCCTAGAAATATCTTACGACGAGTTCCAGGGCTTGCGATACCTCACCCTTGCCGGGGGATCCCCCTGCGTTGCTACGCGGAAGACCGGAAGTCTCTAGAGATCCGGAAGGTGGGTGCATGGCAGCCTTGCATTGCTTTTTGATTAAAATTGCTGGGCCTCTCTTGATGGCTGTACAAGCTTTATTATTTCCCACTTTGGACTCAAGGACAGCGATTGCCGATGGTGCTATGGTATTTGCGCAACTTGGGTTGCAGGCGAAAAGGAAGTTATTATCTTGCTTGTAGTCTTTCAGCCAGTCACTGCTCAAAGCCGGCTTCTTACCCTCGGGAAGCCTGCAGGTTTGAGCCCAGAAAAGGGCCATCTCCATGATTGTTTTGTCATCCAAAGCAATCCCATTGCGCTGGCATTTCTTCGTCCACGCGGCAAGTGCCTTCTCGATGTCAGGATCTTGGCTCATCGTGCGTTTGGCAGGGGTAAGTTCTCACCCGTCTTTCTGGCGCATGATTTTCGAGATCGTCCTAGGATGCATCTGCAAGATTTGTATATGACATGTGTATGACGAGAAAGGTCTCCCATCTTACCTTCTTTCCACCCGAAATACGGCTGGCCACGGATCCACATTAATAAAATGCAACCAGAGATGAAACAAGAACGCAATATGCCGGACTAACCTGCTATATCAATCTGCTTGGCTGTTTTGTATTTTTCACAGTAAAGACATATCTGCCGACGGTCTTCACAGGTAAGAGACTTCTGCGCGGTTTTGGACGTGCAACAGATTTCTCCCGGACGCGGGGCATGGGTGGCGAAGGTGAAGCAGACGCCGCAACGGGATCTACTGAGCATTCCGCTTCATAGGACATCGATTGATATGTAGGCATGCTGGGCCAGCATGCTAATGGCGTCGGGTCTAGCATCGATGCGTCAGGCAAATGTAGTGACTTACCGCATGGCGCATCCGTGACCAAATAGGGCTCGAAACCGCTCTGTTGCTGCAATAGTGCATGTTCTTGTGGTGACCAGGCAACAGTGGCCAGTCCAGCCCACAAAGCATGCGCAAAGTCGTTGTCTGAAACGTGGCGGGTTCCAACTTCCATTACAAATGAGTACTCCATTCATGGAAGCAAGGAGAAGTTTCCCTAAAAAAGCACCCCATAAATGGGAATCAAATAAAGAGGAGCAGAATGATAGGTTCGCCGGAAACAAGAGATGTGAAGATTCCTACAGGCACGAAATACTTATGCCAGCCAACCACAACCCCAAGCCCCTCTCGGGACAAGAGCTAGTGATCATTTCTACACACGGAAAATATGCGCCCACTCAAGGCATAAGTCGCCTTCGGTCCAGTGGGGACGAGTGGATCGACGGAGATTTGCTCTTGCCCCATTTAGGAAAACCAAAGGTACCGGAACAGAGCCCAAATTGTTGACAATGACCTTTTCAAAAGGGGCAAAGCAAGTGGTGTAACCCACCGGCAAGTTGGCCTTCCGACAAAAGATCTTCCGTCTACTCGTGGATCATGATATTCGCTGTCAAGGTGCCCTGGAGCCTGATTTCGGTCGAGAATGGGAATACCATGCTGCACAGAGATCTACGGGTGGTAAGCAGGGGGGTCCGCTCTTGCTCCAAGCTTACCCCCCTGCCCGACACTACGGCACTAGTGAATGTAATCCATAAGCACGCTGTTAGCTCTACCCCATTGAGTATAGATGCGGACTTGCCAAAGTCTCTTTCCGGACCATGTGGTCCGAGGTAGCTCTATTCTTGCCCCGAGGCTTTCATCCAGGCATACTTGGTCCCACCAGCCGAGACTTATCACTGGTAACTCACATCATCCAGCAACTGTGGCGCCCTTTTTAAGGAATTGCTCGCTTGACTACCATTTAGCCTGGACGCACGGGAGGAAAACCACGTCAATTGAACCGCTCAAACTCCATTCGCCCTTCTCTTATTGCACTAGTTAAAGCAAATCACGATAAATCTCGCATCATGTTCTCATGTTTGAACTCGGTTAGTTAAAAGTCTTATGATGACCAAAGGAAATCTTCAAGTGCCACATGGAAACAGTTGCCTTCAATGGAAAGATGGGAGTGCAACAACGCATGGAGAACAAGTCAATCTTTAAAAACTATTAAGCCAAAACATAAATTTTGAGCCACGCAGGCCTAGCAATCCGCTCAGCTCGGAATATAGCCTGACAGCTATGACCATTAGAGGATCCACCTACTGGATTTATTACGAATCCAGGCCTATCTACATTAGTGTGGGCCACTCCGAGCCTTTCATAAAGTGCGATATACAGGTTGGATGGGCATACTTTTGCATGTGGGAGATTGATGGCTTCAGAAGCAAATAGAACGTTATGTATCCTTGCAAAGCAGTGAATATATGCTGTTTAATACAATCATATATCGAATGTCTCAGCTCGGTCGAGACGAAAAACATGCTTGTTCGATGTCGCGGAGTTTGGCTAGATCAGGCATCATGCCTGAAGATACAAACACACTTTCGCATGAATCGCGACTAGCATTCCAGCATTAGCTTGATGGAGAGGCACCTGGTTTCTTCACCCGGTTGTGTGTTTCTATGGTACCAATTGATCAATTCTTGTCATTGATCTAAGAGAAATTGGTCATGTTCAGTGCGTACACCTTTTGCTAGATCCACTCACCCCCCTTATTTCGAGTTATACTAGATTTTACCCAGTACAAGAACTGCGCATAGTTAGAAACCGCTATCTGATCTTTTGGGCTTATGCCAAGCTTGCACGGGCTAATTTCATGTCCAATCGAATCAGATGATTGAATGAAGGTCCTAAGATCGGTTGAACGACCTCAGGGGTCTATACCGTCGAGCTTCGGCGTATTATAAAACCGTACTTCCGAGTTTGCCCGAAATACCATACTGGTACTAGGGGGAATATGGTGAACGATGAATAAGCCTGCCCCGAAGGGTCTCTAGTGGTATTTGGCCACTCTCTCAGTTCGTCGATTTTCCTTGGTGCCATATCCCTCATACACTGGAGGCATATTGCACAGGCTTTCTGAGAAGGAGAGAAAGAAAGAGTCTTCAAAATCAGCCGAATGAGACTATTAAGCCCGTGTATGGTCTCCCAACTTTCTTTGATCTGCCCATTATCTCTTTGATTGGGACATTACGTCGACCGTAAGTTCATCGTCGCACAAAACTGCATGCCTTTCTCTCAAAGTCGCGCCTGCTTTGCATGGGCAAGCTGGGTTGATTATCTGGAGCACAAAAATTGTGGTTTCGACTTTCTTCATTATCACCAACGGCATTGCCAGTTCGAGCCGGATATTTTGCCATTGGATCTCCAGTAGGGCCTTGCATTCTTCCAGTGACATGTCAGCTAGTGCACCACACTGTGTCGGAATGACAGTATTTGGTGACAGGCCATGTGCATTTTTGGCGGGCTGAAACAGAAATTGCTGCAGTGGTGAACTGTGTGCTGGGAGCTTATGAGTACAGGAAGTCTCTGTTTGATGAGTCCTGTCAATGACCACAAGCTGCCCCCTCGCCTGGGTGAACCTCTAGCCATGCATTGCGATCCGAAGCAACCCAATCCTCAAAGGCAGCAAGGTTGTACGCTTGGTAATCAGAATCATGTGAATCGAGGTGATTTGGAAGCTCTGTTCGTTGATATTTGATCAACTTCGACTGCGGCTGGAAACTTTCTCTGCACAGGCGTTTGTTGCATTTTCTATGTTCTCGAGGTAGCGGTCAAGGCAAGGGAGCGCCCATCGAATACCTTGACGAAAATCCAAATCACGCAGCTGGGCATATCGATGCTATAGCTATTTTGGCCTTTGGTCTGTCTCCACTGGACTGTAGTTGCACTGCTTATACGACTCAAACTTTCTGAATTGAAGGAACCAGGCGAGCTCATCTGCAAAAGCAAGCATCGGCAGTCTGTGAACAACCTTGGCATTCATGAGAAAGAGACGCTCGGAAGACATTGAAATTGAAGCCATTCAAACTACCCTGGTCATAAAGAAGACCATGAAGTATTTATACAGATCGTCCAAGCTCTCTTCTGCAGGCGGATCTGCGAAATATCAGCTGAAGCGTCACGCGCACCAGAAGCCATAACGCGGATCAGCGCCGCGGCGATCGGTAATCAAACCACATTACCTCCTCGCGGGTATTCTTCTAATGTGTGTAGTCGTGACATCGGTGCATCGAGGACGGAAAGTCGACATGAGGAACTCTGTCACCATTGTTTGTGGTGTTCCTGTCCAGCGTTCTTGACTTTTGGCTTGGTTCCAGCAACGGGCTAGTGGCCCATTCTTGAAATTGTTTGCGTCATGATCTTTCAGAATCCGGGTTCTTCGAAGATTACCCTCTTCATAGCCATGGTAGGGCCAGGGAAAGTGCAGCGCAGCCGTCCTGCCGTTCTCACAACAACCTCGTTGCGAGCTGACAACTCAAAAGATTCTATACATATCGCGTCGTCATGCCACTATAAGAGGATGCCTGCATTTTGCTTGCGAACGTGAATTGGGAGGAATCCGCCTACGGCCTAGTCAGAAATGACGGCAATGATTTGCGTATTGCAATACTTACCCCGAATGCGTAGCTCTGTCAAACAGATCATAAGCTACTTTCCATCAACGTCGCTGTGAAGGTCATGCGCTTTTCTCAGGCGAGCAATCATATCAATGGCCTTACGCAGGATAGTAATATCTGCCGGAGAAATATCATCGCTGAAGCTACGAAGCACATCAACTACCCTGTCGAGCAGAAGATTTTCTTGTTCTGCATTGTATTCTTTTGCCCGTGGAGCCTTTGGTGGGAGAACTCTGTGGCGGAGGTGAAACACTTGACAAAACCCATCTCATGTTGTCATTTGAAAAGCTTTTGGAAAGACTCGCTCGACGATTTATCTATCATGCGGTTTCGATCGTTTTTCTAAGAATTCTTGTTTGTTATAGATTGTTAATTCCTTAAGATACTTCTGGTAATGTCAGATATTCGAGGTTCCTGCCAGCTGGTAGACTTATCGGAGTTGAACTTCGTGAGCCGATCCCTTCCTCTGGCCTTTCAGCTATCGTGCAAACGAATCCTTGCTGTGGTAAATGGATGATATAAAATATGCAAGTACGTAAAAGGGATAACCAGCAATGATTGTTTGCTATTGAACCTTCGTGTTCTGTCGGCTTGTAAGACGGAGCAATAGACCAAGTGGTGAGCTTTATTGAAGAGAAAAGAATAAAAGATGACAATTGTCTTATAGCTATCTGCATTACAAATAAACTTTCCAAGGAAAGCATATGTGATAGCACCGCAAAAACGCAGACATGAGGTTGTGAAAACTCGTTTTGACTGTCAAGTCCCAAAATCAGTTAGTCAAAAATCCTATATGATATTAGCGCCTGCCCAATTTGCTCTCTCGTCTTTCGATCTGGATAAGGGAGCCACATACCAAGCAGCCATAGCGATAATCAGATACAGCACCATGAGCAAGATGCCCTCAAGCCAGTGAGACTTGCCATCCCCAATGAGGTATCTAACGAGCAGGACAGCGAGAAAGAGAGCAATTACTTGGGAAACATCGAAGTTGAGAGTCTGTTTGATGTTAATATTTATATTTTCAACCTAACAGGCTTATCAAGATGAGAGGCAGGGCTCGGGGAAGTACGTACCATGCTCTCGACGCCCATAACCCAGCCAATAGCAACAATCAATGGCAGAACCAGCAGCCCAATTTGGATACTTGAGCCCACGGCTACGTTAATCGCAAGGTCCATTTTATCCTTACAAGCGACAGTCACTGCGGTAGCGTGCTCTGCCGCGTTGCCGACGATGGGAAGGAGAATCAGCCCAACGAATGTCTCGCTAATGCTACCAGTGGCAGTGAGTGCATCGATGGAGTCTACCATGAACTCCGCACAGACAGCTACAAGCGCAGTTGAAACGCCTAGTGTAATTAAGGCGAGCAGCATGGTCAGCTGCGGCTGTTCGGGCTTGTCACCCGGGTCTTGCATCTGCATTGGCCGCACGTTTCCATCTATGGGTGCGGCGAAAATTGTGGCCATCTGAGCGATTCTTCGATTGGCATCGCCTCTGCCAACCTTTTGGCGGCGTCTTGCAACCTTAAGGCTGGGGCGGTTGTATATGTCGACGTGGGACTTCAGTTGAAAAAAGAGATAGCAACCGTATGTGATTAGGAGGAGGATGCTGGTTCCTCGGGAATGACTGGCAATTTTGCTCATGTCGGTAGTGGATTTCCATTTGTGGAAGGCAGTGGGGATGATCAAGCTAGTCACAGCAAGCGCGAGCAAAGAAGTCGCAGTTTGTGCTCCAGTGACATTGAAATGCTGTTCGACACGATCGATACCACCGAAGAAAAAACACATCCCCATAACGAGCAGCAAGTTCGAGAGCATGCTTCCAACCAGCGAAGTCTGCACGATCAGGACATTCTTCTTGGCAAGCGCGATGATCGCAACAATCAACTCCACCGCATTACCAAAGGAGGCATTCAACAATCCGCCAATCGTTTCGCCCGTCCGTAGAGCAATTTCTTCTGTCGCATAACTCAACATTGCAGCCAGCGGAATAATCGCAATGAAGTTAACGACGAAGATGGCAATTGGATTCGCCTTGACAAAGTGCAACGTAATACCGGCCGGCGCAGCGAGAATAAGCACATTGATCCAGGAATTCAAAATCGTAGCCCGTAACTGACTCGCAACAGTAAACCTTGGCCGCCATTTTACATCGCCTCTATTGAGCAATTCATCGGCCCTTGTCCCTGTCTCTTCGATACCGGCAGCCTGCGGCATGGCGTGATGGGCGCATACATCATTTTCATCTCCGTCATCAGAACTGCCGAGCACGTCGGTGGGGTTGTCTAGTCCGTATGAGGGGTAGTTGTCCTGGGAATCGGCGATAGAACTGGTGGGTGAGACTTCAGAGTATTAGCATCATATGTAGCATGTTGCAGAGTATCACATGGGGGAAACATGATAGGGTACTGACGCATCATGGTAGATGATTTGGGTGTTGTCATTGGAATGGAAATAATGGTCGGGATACCATTGAGTATTTAAGAGCTATCTGGAGGCGCAGCAGACCACAAGCGTCCGTCAAAGTCAGATGCAGTCGTCCGATCAGACGTCTGCGCCTCTCTTCTTTCGTAGCAGCTGGGTAGGGACGCACAGCCCAGGTTTACAAGCGGGCAGAAAGATTACACGCAGGAGTCGAGCCGGCGTTCTTGTCTCACGACCGGCTAGTGCTGATATTACCACCAGAGTAACAGCAATAAGCTCTAGGTTACATGCCGTCATAAAATTGTATTCCTCTGGGATGTGCCTACTTTCCCTACTTGAAGAACACCAGTTGCCGTGGGTATTGCAAACCTGAAGCTAGACAATGTTTCCTGTTCGCAGCACTAAGGCTAGGTTACCTTCGTCGTGCGATACAGGTCACAAATTGGGCCCAGAGGAGACTAATAGGAGTCTGTTTCAGTACAGCCGCAATTACGAGGTATTCCAAGGCAGCGGTAACCACGCGCGATGTAACTAATTTATTCAATCACGGCGCCCGGTATTGCAGGCCACTTGGTTCGCCCTTAGTTAGTCTTTTGCAAACATAATTATCTACAAGAATGTAATGGCTTGAGCTTTTCATCCGGGTGGCTAAGATATATTCGACTGCATTCGCCTAGTCAAGTCTGCCTCGCAGGCAGTGCCGGCATCATCCCAGCGCGAAAGAAAGGAACGGGCCAATTGCATAACCCTGGGCCATGTAAAGGGCGGTCTACATTGAGCCGCAGCAATCCTTCTTGAAAGCAAACGTCGAGGCCCACATAGCCTCCAAATATCCGCAACATATACCCCAGATGCGTAAGTATAGTATGCAAGTAGGCGGCGATGATTTGAAAAGGAGCAGGGGTAGCAACGAAGGTATAAATGGGAGCAGGTGCAATCCTTTATTGCTCTCTCAACCACGATAATCATATCTTTCGAGATTCTCTTAAACGCAATGAACGCCATCAACGGGGGTAGTTCCTACCACAACCCTTCTCAGATGTCTCTTCTAGATATTTTCTTCCCCGGTCTCAGTATGGTCTCTGCTTCCGCACAGCAGCTCTTTGCCGGTAACCTGGACAGCTACACTCGACTTCTTTGTACTGTGGGGATGTTCGTCCTCTTCACCCGCTATGCAGTCCGCTACGTCGGGGAGCTAGTGAGAAGCTACTTCAGTTCGTAATTCTTCCCTTGTGATGGGATGGGTCTGACAGTCCGCAGCTTCGACAATCCATGTCTCATATTATGACGAAGCGTACGACATGCTAGTCGATTGGATAGCTCACCAACCGTTTGTCCGCAACGCTCACTCAATAATCGCTCGTGTTAGATCTCCACAGCGAACAACCATCCAAAACCAAGTAAAGAAAAAGCCTTTGACCTTTTCGCCTTGGGATGGATCTTTCCCTTTCTGGTATAAGGGACACCTGCTCATACTTCACTGTGCCGTCAAAGACCACCGAGAAGACATCTACATCTCCTCCATTGGCCTTTATCCAAACATTCTCAAAGAGCTCGTTGAAGAATGTCGAGGAAATTATCTTAATAATATTGACAAAAAGATCACTGTCTTTGAGCACCGCGAAGGGGACTGGAAGAAAACCAGGTTGAGACCAGTTCGGCCCGTCTCTACAGTCATCATGGACAAGCAAGTACAGGATGACCTTTTGGGGATGTGAAGGACTTTCTGGATGAGGATACTCAAAAGTGGTACGCCGACCGCGGAATTCCCTACCAGCGTGGGTACCTTTTATATGGACCTCCTGGAACCGGAAAATCCAGCTTCAGTCTGTCCCTGGCCGGGGAATTTGAACTGGATATTTATACGCTTCAACTGTCAGGGATTTCTGACAGCAAGCTGATGAAGCTATTTTCTGAGCTTCCGCCGCATTGCATCGTTCTCCTAGAGGACGTGGACGCCGCTGGGATGGGGCGTAGGGACGACACCGATACAGACCAAGAGAACAAGTCAACCTCTGCAGTCACCCTATCCGGTCTTCTGAATGTTCTTGATGGTGTATCGCCTCAAGAAGGTCGGGTGCTTGTTATGACGACCAATCATATCGAACATCTGGATGAAGCACTCATTCGGCCTGGCCGCGCAGACAAGAAAGTGTATTTCCAGCTTGCTGATAAGAAGATTTCCACTCAACTTTTTCACACGGTCTTCAAGCAGACAGCAGACCATAAGGAATCAAAGCATGAATTCGGTGATGAGACGACTGAGAGACTTGCCAACGACTTTGCTTCCAAGGTGCCAGACCAAGTTTTCAGTCCAGCTGAAGTTTTGTCGTTCCTATTGGAGCAGAAGAACTCGCCTTTTGGCGCTGTGACTAGTGTTGAAAAATGGGTAGCGAAGACAAAGGCCGGGAGCCAACTGAAGAGAGAGGGCTCCTAGGTACAAGAAGGACGTTAAGAACTAGGAAGAGAGGGCACCCGCGCAATAGAGAGGCAAAGGGGCATAACACCGCGACGACATTTGGTTTGTGACAGGACTGACCAAACCTGTGTCGCCAATTGGATGTTGGTTTAATGTTTGAGGCGCTTCACTATTTTTCTGGTTATTTCTTTGCCCTTTAGGTACTTTGCTACCCTGCCAGTCTTTTTCTTGGCCCATCGATCTTAGGCCCCCACTCTTTCAGTTGTTCCCATACTTTCACTCCTTAATTTGAACACATTTATCAACCTGCAACCTGTATTAGCTAGTAGGCAATAGCTTGGAGTTCTGTCTGGCCAATGCTCGCGCTAAGAGAAACTAGATCTCCGCGGATGAACTTGATGTTGACCACGGAGACCCTAATGCATTGGGCAAGACTCAAGCGCATATTCAAGATCGCGAAATAAGTTGATGTGGTTGCTACTTTTGGATGAAGTGGATGCGTTCATGGAGCGTCAGATTGCCTCCCATGGAAGTCACAACCACCTTGTGACTGCCTTTTTTGCGAAACCTTGAATATTATGAAGGTTTCCCATCCTATTCTTGCCCGCCAGTCTGCAGCCCGAATCAGTTCGATATCCAATATTACCGGACGCCGACACAGCGTTGATGTCATCTGAAGAAGGTCGGGTGCTCATCATGACAACGAATCATAAATTATTCGGTTAGTGTTAGGTTAGACAAAAAAGTGCTTCTTCAAGATGTTCGATATGATTTTTTGTCATGATGAGCACTCGACCTTCTTGAGATGACATTCTAGCAAACGGTTTCAGCGCAAGTGCTAGTTGCAGGAACGCATAATTATCATGCTTTATGCGATAACTAAGCCAATAATGTAAACATGATTCCTCCCGTCCCGTGATCTGACGGTACGGACGTCAACCGAGTCGACTAACGCTGTGGTCTGTGCTCTGACGGTCGTTATATGCAGGCAACTGTCGAGCGAGACAAGAGCTTTTGCTTGCTTTCCCCGCGCCGACGCGATGACCACGCCAAGTATTGCCAGAAGTTGATTCAAGAACCCGACGGCGCTTCAACCATTTCACATCCTCCGAGTGAATGACAGTCTGCAATGCTCTTATAATGGTCATATCATCCCGAAAAGATTTCAAGTTCGAGGGTCCGGCTCACATAGTAAGTCGGGTGGTGTCGAAGCACATGAATAAGGAGCGCACTTCGCCTCGGAATATATAGGTGACCATGGGAATTTGGGTAACAAGAATAAGATCGCTAATTCAACAGGTAGAAAATAGATTTCCTTATCACGAAACCCGAAGACGTTTTGCATCTCCTGCCTCCGCTCGACATAGTCGTCGTTTTGCGGCCCCCGGTCGCTGCTTAGCCGGTCGGCATCTCAGAGTAGAACGGTGAAAGTCGATGATTAAAGCACGCCCGAGCTCTTCACTCCAAAGGACATTATCTCGCCTGAGGTCTTCATGTATTATCCCGAGGGCTTTTATTTCCTTGTTCGATTTGTAAATCTCGCGGCGAAGCCGTTGCGTCAGCTCCATCGTGGCTGTGCACTTACCGCCCCAGCCCATTACGAGCATATGGCGAATCTGTCCAGCACCATGTAGAAAGTAGATTTTTGCCAAGTCAATCGTTCCCAAAAAGACAGGAACAGCAGATCCTTGAGCCTTGCGTAGGATCTGATATACCTGCGCTTCGCGTGAAACTTCTTTCCACAACCCGGAAGTGGTGCTTTTACCGATAACCGTGTAACCATATTTTGTGTAAGTCAGTTTAAACGGGGCTCCGTAGGAGCCACAACCGCCAAGAGGAATGCAACGATCGATATTTTCGTCCAATTGGCCCTTGAGTGAAAGCATCAAATCTTCAGCCGAGATAGGATGCTGAGTCGGGTCGTCTTAGCCCCGGTGGTGATAGTCCACGTTTGGACACAACCCATCCAGTGATTTTCCGGTCTGCAGGCCGAGTAAACACCGCTGTGTGCAAAATTGTGCAGCGCGGCGTCGGGAATGATCTTCTTCCTGGTTATGTATTGACTCTTGCTGGCGACCTGATCGTCGAGCGGACGGTGAAGGCGTGACTTGACTGATCCTCCGCTTATAGCCAGATGTTTGATTTGTGTCGGACCCGGACGAGTTAGGTGACTATGAACGCGGTCGGATCTCCGAAGGTGCACAGCTGGTTTGAGAGCGTGTAGGCACTCGACGGCCCTCTAAGGGAGACGGCAGCGGAGATGACGACGGTAATTCATAGGACGAACCAGATCCAGGGCTCGGGAACTCGGGGTTAGTACTATCAGAGTGAGGAACCTGCTGTAATTCACTTTTCGGGATTTGCGATCGCGTATGTTTAAAGCTAGTTTCCCATGTATGAAGATTGGGACGCAAGCGATTTCTCCACTCTTGCCCACGGGTGGGTGAACGGAAGGCCATCAAGCAAAGGCATAATACCCTCGCAACAGATGTCTTCGATAGCTGATGATTAATATCGCCTGCTATGTCCACTTCGTTATGGGGATCACAAAAAAAGTAGTATAACGTGGTGGGATCGTCTCGTGGAACACGAAGTAGGACACGGGCAATTCCATTTGTTAGATAAGAATATTCGAGCCCTTCTTGAATCATCATATGGTATTCTTGGACGATAGCAGAGCAGACAAGCCGCTCTGCATTGTACCTCAGCTTCGCATCCTGGTCGGTGGGTATTTTATTTGATCTGACCATTTCCTTCCACAGCTCCATTGGTCGTAGTCCCATGCGAAGAGTTGCGATAGGCAGTTTGTGAGGCGGCTTGTACTCGACGGTCGTCTGCACGGTAGTCGTGTTGCCGTCGACACGATGAATATAGAACTGGTCTGGTCGTGGGTGAGGCGTGCTTGACAGCTGGCTTGTATCCGCTTCAAAGGTTTCATTCCTGCTCAAAGAATTTGTGTGATTGCTGAACTGGATTCTATCACCGAGGCCAAACTCGTCATAGGCCGCCGGTATTTTGCACAACTCGGCTATTATATCATGGACATGATCTTCCACTCCAAACCGCTCATATGCCTCGAGATCTTGTTCGCTACTAAGTGGTTTACGAGCAAACCGACGGCCAAGTCCTTCTAACTCCGGTAGAGACGAAAATAAGCGTGGCGCCTGCCCTAACTCCGACGGCAGATACTAGCAGACAGACTTGTAGACACGAAGCAGCTGCTCTAGGCAGTCGGCCTAATGTTCCAATCGAGTTGGGCAGTCTTTTCCGGTCGGAAGGGGTATTTTGCCAGTGGTTAAGCGAGACGGTGTCTCGACTCGCAACTGGCGGGAGAGAAGGTTATGGCAGTGCTACAAGAGCTCTGTGAAAGAGGCCTGTTGGTTGCGTTCTTCTGCTTGTCGCCTCCTTTCTGCTTCCTATCTCTCGCGTTCTTCCGCCTGCTTCTCGCGTTCTTCCGCCTGCTTCTCGCGTTCTTCCGCCTGCCGTCTCCCTTCTACTTCCTGCCTCTCGCGTTCTTCCGCCTGCTTCCGTCCTTCCTCTGCCTTAAGGTAAAGATCCTTATAGTTTGGAGAGCTGTGGTCGGCCATCGATTTGTTGAAAATGGTAAGTCATGCCTTGACGCAAGTGCGTCAGAGCCCGGCTGACGATCTGGTCCGATCAGCTTTCTGCCAGCAGATCCCGGGATTCGGAAAATGCTTTCTTCCGGAAAATGACTCAGGTCTCACGTTTCAGGTATACATACTAGCCCAAAGCGGTTAGCGCTTATCTTTACTCTAATCAGAGTTAGACCTCGGCAGAGCCCGCCCATGGGCGAGGGTATAGAGCCCACAGCCCATTCATGGGCCCTACGTAGGGCCCATAGCCCAAAGCCCAAAGCCCATGGGCGGTAAGGGTCAGCCCATGGGCCGCCCATGAAGAGCCCATCAATGCATAAGTATCCCAAATAGGACGGATAAAGTGCTGATTCAGCCAACAAAAATACTCGTAATTTACACTTGTTCTGGTTACAACAGAGCCCACCACCCCTAATCAACCCACATGCCTGTGAAATCTAAAGAAATTTTCAAGTATTCTGACATTTCAGACAGGTGATTTGTATTTTATTTCCTTGGTATAAGGCTCTGAGTGTATTGGCGATGACGTTATGAGCGGAGATCGTAAAGTCATGAAACCCCATCAGAGATATATTTTTCTGGGCTGTGTAGAGTAGGACAGTCTAGTTTCCATAAATGAGCAAAGATTTACTTGATCCTAATTTTTGTTGATTATTCCTAACCGGCCCTTACATTTTTTACCAAAATTACAGACCCTCGCATAGCGAGGGTCCGCCATCCATACCGTACATCCCATCCAAACCGTAGATTTTTTCTAAATCCCACCTTTTCACTTTGATCCTAAACCACCCCACCAACCATGCCTAAAAATAATAAAGATATAGAGAATCAGCTTCTTAAAGCTCTCGAATCTCTCGCTGAGCAATCTAAACCTAATATCGCGAAGACTGCGCGAGAATTCGCGGTTCCTGTAAACCGACTACGCCACCGATGGAATGGGGGAAAATCGCTTTTTCAACGACAACCTAATGGTAGGAAGCTCAATCCTGCACAAGAGAAGGCTTTACGTGAATATATTGATTACTTTGACGCGGTCGGAGCGTCGATAAATCGTCGTCAAATTGCTATTGCCGCCAATTCAATTCTTGAAGAAGCCCACCATGACGAAACTAAACCACCCCCACAAATTGGCGACCACTGGATAAAACGTTTCCTGGATCGGTATCCTGAATATCATGTACGACGCCGGCGAGCTCTTGACGTTGAGAGAGCTTCTGCACTTGACAAAACTGTGGTGGAAAGGTGGTTTCAAGACTATCAACGTGTGGTGACTGAGCATGGTATATGCCAACAAGACATCTACAATTTTGACGAAACTGGCTTTCAAATTGGCGTCGGACGCGATCAATTCATCATTACTAGGCATCCAAAAAAGAAGCTATTCAATGGATCTGTCACTAATCGTGAATCTGTCACGGTTTTAGAGGCTGTTTCGGCCGATGGTTTTACCTGCCCACCGCTTATAATTCTAAGTGCTAAGCAGGCATTACTACGCTGGTTTGACGCTATCGAAGGTGACGAGCATATATCTGTAACTGATACTGGGTATATCAATGATACTCTCGCATATCAGTGGATTCAGCTCTTCCACAAATGGACAATTGGTCGTACAATTGGTGGAAAAAGGCTTGTTTTATGTGACCGTTTTGGATCACATTTGACGCGCCAATTCGTTGAATTTTGTGAGAAGAATAATATCATTTTATTCTTCTTACTCTCCCATACCAGCCATATACTACAGCCTCTTGATGTCGGGGTGTTTAGCGTGTATAAGCACTGGCATAGTGAGGCTGTTGAAGCGGCTACTATGACTGGATGCCGCAAATTCTCGAAGGATGAATTCCTATACTCAATTGGCGAAATCAGACGAAAAACCTTGCAGCCGCATACAATTAAGCTTGAATTCAAATTAACTGGCCTCTGGCCTATTAATTCCAAGCTTATTTCTGATGAATTGGAGTCGTACGATCCATATCATGACAATTTACCGCGGCTAGATACTCCGTCAACTAGCTCTCAAAACACCGAATTCAGCACTCCAAAAACAGCTGAGAGAATTCGAAGAATCAGCCGTCGTCTCAATCAATACGATCCTACCACTCAGCGTTTCAAAGATGGGCTAGCAAAGCTTGCAAAGGGTGCTGAAGCGCAGGCTATGTTAGCTCTCCAGCTACAGCGGGAATTCGATTCAACACAAGCTGTTATGGGTGCTCGCCACGCCCGGTATGATGCTTCTCGACGCTATACCCAGATAGCTGGCATTATCAGTTCATCCCAAGTCAAAGAAATGAAGCGAAAAGAATATAAATTGACTGAGAAAGCCGATCAAGAAAAAACGAAGCGGAAGTGGAAGAAGGTGTTGGTCGAAATTAGGAAGCATGGACGAGCGAAAAAACGCAGGGGAAATTGATCTAATTTTGTATACTAGTAGCAATTTGGTTAATTGGTTAATTTACAATTTTAAATTAATTAATTTACTACGTGGTGGTATACTAAATGGTAGTCAAAGTAAAATGTATAAAAGATCTACGGTTTGGATGGGATGTACGGTATGGATGGCGGACCCTCGCTATGCGAGGGTCTGTAATTTTGGTAAAAAATGTAAGGGCCGGTTAGTGAGATCTTATAGGATTCACTATTTTCCTGTTCATTCACAATTCTAAATCCCTACCATATTGGTTGTGTTCACTAATTGCCTACCTCTTGTGTCTAAAGCTGAATTCTTGTTTGGCTTTAGGATCGGGTACATCTGTCCGACCACTAATTTAGTGAAATGAAATGGTGTGGGCCCTTTGCTGACACCAGCCAATCAATGAAACTAGCAACTATAGGCCAACGGCTATTTCACACTTTTTAAGATTATTTGCTCCTAAAGCTGAATGCCATTCGAAGCCCCTGATTTTGAATTGGCTACGGAAGAAAGGTGAGTTTCTCTATTCTCTATCTTTCCTCTACCTTGAATGTATCTCACCATGTCTCAATTCTCTGACGCTGGCCCCTCATCCCGATATGAGAGTGATGCAGATAATCTCTCCTTTCCTCGGTCTGACGATGCCTATCTCTTTACCCCTGAGTCGCCGAGCAGTCAGCAAACAACTGTTTCTGTCCAAGATTCATCCTTCCTTCGACCACCACCACCACCTTCGATTCCTCAGTCCCTTGGGCGCGTTGGCCCAAATCGAACGAAGAACTTCATTCTTTATTCAGTCATGAATAAAGCGGATTTTATGGATTGGTGCTTCAGACAATGGCGGCAGCTGAGAGAGACGAGGCACCAAAAGGCGATCCTAGACGCAAGTTTGAGTGGGATGGAACCAGAAAGCATTCGACAAGCTGGGAAAATTTGGACCAGGTGGCACATATTAACACTGGTGTACCAAGCGTCATGTGTAAAAGATGTGGAAATATCCTTGATCACCCGAACTGGAAATCGAATGGAACAAAGTCTGTTAATCGACATCGGACGACTAGCAGGTGTAAATTGGCCTCTAGTCAAAAAGCCCAGCAAGCAAAACTACGTCAACTTTTTAAGAAATCGGTATTTGCTGCCCTCTAATAGCTTACTTCAATACTAATTGTTTTAGGACTCTTATACTCGCAATGATATTGAGGACTTCACCAAAGACCAGTGGGAGCAACAGATTGTCCGAACAATCACTGCACTCCAGCTTCCGTTCCAAGTCGTCGAACATCCAGAACTACAAATGCTTTGTCGTCTAGCTCGGGCAGCCCCATCAATGCCAGAGTTTCCTTCAGCTAGAACCGTTCAGCGTCGACTACAGGAATCCGTAGATGACGCGAACCAAAAGATTCTTGAAAAGCTTCCTTCAACTGCAAAGCTCTCTATTGCATTGGACTGCTGGACTTCGCCATTTCAACAGGCATTTATGGCTATCACTGGCTACTTCATCGATCAAGATTGGAACTATCGTGAAATCCTTCTTGGATTTGAGCCACTCCATGGCACCCACTCAGGAGTGAATCTTAGCAATGTTCTTCTTGAAAGGCTTCAACATTGCAAGATTGAGGGTCGAGTATTGGCCATCACAACAGACAACGCATCAAACAACAAGACCTTGATGAAGAAAATCCAAGAGTCTTTGTCAGCCTTCGAGTCCCATGATCAGTTCCCTATCATCCGGATTCCATGCCTGGCTCATGTTATCCAACTGAGCCTGAAGAAGCTCCTTGGCGAAATGAAAGCCAATCCAAACAATGAGAGTCATGAACGAGAATGGTCTGAAGCGAAATCCAAAGCCCTTCGTGCTAATCGACGACGGAAAGAGATTTCCGATACCCTGGATAGGGTAAGACCTCTATTCTATCTCTATTTATCTTCATTCACCTAAAAACATATATTTATTAATTATTTCGCTAGGTCCGTGACCTCGCCATTTACATAAATGGAAGCCCTCAACGCCGAGAAGTATTTCTTAGTCTTCAGACTAAACCGCCAAAGCTGGTTCCTATTCAAGATGTTAGAACTCGCTGGAACTCGACCTACCTGATGCTCCGACGTATTAAGAAATTGCAGCCAGTGATTGATAAATACTGCACAGAGTATAATCTCAGAGACTACGAGTTAGACCGAGAAGAGTGGCGACAAATTGAATACCTTCTTTACATCACACTGCCTTTCTACGAGTTTACAACTGCACTTTGCCAGACTAAGGATGCCACTGTCCATGGTGTCTTTGCTATCTACAACCGGCTTTTTGATCACCTTGACACTTCAATCAGTCAGCTCCAGCGAAAAGAGATTGGCTGGAAACGATCGATGTTGGCTGGCCTGCAAGCGGCAAAAGAAAAGCTAAAAGATTATTATGGCAAGACGACTGGGGATCATGGCAACCTTTACGCGATGGGTACGATCCTTGCGCCACAATACAAGTTACAGTTCTTCACACAGCAGAAAGGGTCAGATAATGACTACAAATGGCGGGACAAATATCATCAATACCTCAAAGATTACCTCGAACCCTACAAGCAACGGTTTTCTGATCATCAATCCCCAATATCGCAGCCACAAGCAGCACGAGTCTCGCGGCTTCACCGAATCCTTACGCAACCACGATCCGAGAAATCAACCTCGATACCAAGCTATCAGGATGAGCTTGAGCGGTTTTTACAGAGGCGTAAGAGGTACTCTATATTCTTTCAATTACATTCACAACCTAATCCTATTATGACCTAGAACCTATTAATGTTGAGCCTCTCCTATTTTGGAAAGATAATCAACATGAGTTTCCAGTACTAGCAAGTGCTGCGCGAGATATTCTTTCTATTCCTGCTACTGGTGCTGGCGTCGAGCGACTTTTCAACTCTGCTAGGGACATCTGCCACTATCGTCGAGGCTCACTCAAAGCAACGACCATCCAGGATCTTATGATGCACATGTGCACTAGCAGGTTCGATATCGAGGAGGGGCAGCTTAGGCTTGCTAGGGAGTTCTTGAGTACTGAAGAGATCGACCTAATAGAGGAAGAAAAAGATATTCCACAGGATGATCCTATTGCTCTTATCAGTGACGATGAGGAAGGTGATTCAGGATCTACCCAGAAGCAGGTCACTCTTGAGAAAGTAAGCCAGCTCTCCCTTGGCAAGAGACGGCGAAGTACTGTGTCTAGTGCTTCGGATTCTGAGGAAGAAAACATGGACGCTCAAGGACGAATTAGTGACGGAGAAGACGGCGATGACAATGATTTTCCATTGCCGCCTATCGCTCATGGAGAAGGCAATACTCAGAGGCGTACATCAGGGAGGATGTCGAAGCGTTCAAGACGGGACGAAGAGCTTTTTGAATATTATGATCCTAGATAATCAGTCAAAATTTTACAATCCCTTTTAGTCGGATTGTGTACTGTATATACCGTGCTCCCTACTTGAAGCCGAGTTCGTAAGCCAAATACTAAAAAATACAGCCGAAAAAATGCATAACTTATGAAAGTCACGGTTTGTCCTTCTCTGGCCCACATTTGGGCTGTTGGGCCGCCCATCGTGGGCTCTGGGCGCGCCCATGACCCTCAGGGCCCGCCCATGGGCCCCAGACTAGAGCCCAAAGCACCCCCATCAACAGCCCATGGGCCGCCCACATAGGGCGGCCCATGGGCTGTGCCGAGGTCTAGTGACGACCGACGTATACACCTACATTGGAGTAATTGTCGAGGTTTTGAATGAGGGGTTCCCTCGCTCAGCGTGGTTGCTGATCGGAGACAATGCAACTCGGAGCATGCGCTCGCGCTTGAATCTTGCGTGCACCATGGTTGCAGCCACCACGGCGCAAGGTTTCGTGGTGATGTTAATATTCCTCTCTTATCCGCAGAGTCTTGCATCGGCCTTTGTTCCAGCTAAGGTTCGACAAGCCTCTGTCACATATGTGCGACTATCTTCTGTCCAGTTTCTTACCTCAGCCGCGGAAGCTGCCCTATCATCATCAACACGCGCATTGGACAACCCTGATGTGCCTTTGATCATAAGCTCGAGCAAGTTCATGGTCAATATAGTATTAGACCTGCTTATAATCTCAAGGTTCCATATCGGGCACTCAGAGCCAACTGTCGTCAGCCAGGCCATTATCAGGCTCGTTTGTGACTGTCTTTCTGCTCTTACGGGCTTGGCATATTTCGCATATATTGTCAAATCCCGCAGGAGGGAAGCAGGGGATCGTCGCTATTTTGAAGTAAGCGTCTCAGCACTGAAGACTTTGCTTCGACCAAGCATATACACCTTCTTGGAATCCGCTCTCAGGAACGCAATCTACCTCTGGATTGTGCATGAGATCGTGCAGCTCGGGGAGGATTATGCCACTGCTTGGGGCGTCTTCAATACTATCCGCTGGGGCCTAGTAATGGTCCCTGTATTAGCACTCGAAACATCAACTCTTACGTTTATTGGCCACAATTGGGGCCATTTCCGAGCATCGAAAGAGACAGAGAATCCAGGGGCATCTATCAAGGGGATTCTAGGTATGTTGTATCGTTGTGTATCTCTCAGTCCGTGCTGAGAATTGTCACAGGAATCTTGCGACCCGCTCTTATGTCATGCTTCATCGCACTTATCTTCGAAGTTGTGCTTTTCGCTGCCCTTTCCGTACATGGTATCCACGCATTCGCGTACTACCTGTCTGGCTCAACAAATGTGGCGACAATTAGCCAGAGAATGTGGAAGGCACGTACTTCAAAGGCTTTAGAAAGGCTTTACAAAGGCTGTTACTAACCTACGCTTTCGCAGGTTGTTGATTGGACCTATATATTCTATGGGCTGGGCTATCAAATCGCAGCTGTTCTGCTTGCTACATCACCTCGATGGTATCTTTATCAAGCGTTAGGTTCCAACCTCCTTTGGATGCTGCCTTGGGCAATTGTCGCCTCCAAAATGGCATTCCCCTTGTCTTTATCGTGGACCTATTATGCCATCATTTTTGGAGGTGCGAACATCTTTAGTTTTGTTGTTGTGAGCGTAGTGCTCTTTATGTGGCTTTACAGGTTATGGGAGGGAAAGATCAAGGCAAAATCGGCACACGGTGACTAGCTGGTAAATCATGGACAAGACAGATTCGAATTTATTCGGGTATTGAATGAGATACCAGCGAAGAGGGTGGTGTCGCATTTACAAAGCACTGCCGGTGTAATTGTTTTGAGAGCATCCATTTCTCCACGTAAAATACGACATTATGGAAGAGGAAAGGGTAAGGAAGTTGCTATAGGTTTTCGGATGAACGAGGCGCACCTCGCGCCAGCGGCCTTGAGCAAAGGCTCCTAATAGGACCTGCGGGAGTAACCGCCCCCACCAAAAGTAATCATCGGTATCGCAATTTTCTGACGCATTCATGTCATCAGGCATCTCGATGGTGAGCCCCTCTATCTCTTCCCAGTCTAGCAGAAAGGCGGCGAGACTCTGTAAAGCTGTATCATGATTCGCATGATCATCAGTGGAAAAATTGCCAAGGGACATATCATGACCAGTGGTAGAAAGAAGACTCTTTTATAGATATGAACGGCAGCCCGTACTACATCTCTCAACCACAAGAGCTCGAACCATGGGAACAGCAATATCAGCAACAATACCAGCAAGAATGGCAACGACAACGACAACGACAATGATGGAGGAGCTGGCCTTTCTGAACATTTCCGCTACGACTGAGTATAAGATGAATGGCAGAAATGGGGCCGCTTTCTAAATGATACTACCGAGACCATATGGACAGACCGCCAAGTCACCCTCGCAAGGGTGAATGCACAATCTAGGGATATATCGCATACCTTGAATAAGGTACGGTATCTTGCTCATTATATCTGTGGTAGTTCTCAGGGCTCTGTAGTCGACAGACTCTGCCATGTTCCGCGCACACTTAACCAGCTGTGTTGTTGGGGTCTGTCTTCAATATTTTTTTGTATCCCACATATCTTCCTCGTCCCATTCAAGGGACAAATAACCCACGTTATTGGTGGGTTCGTGTGTGATAGTGGAATCGTCGAAAGCGACTCGCGTCATGTTTGGCACTTTTTGAGTAAAGTTTCAATACTCTGTTTAAATAGATGATTGACTTAGTTCACGGCCAAGTATGTATAGCTAATAGGTTGGCTTGCACCTTTTTCCCCAGGGAGAAAAAGTGAAACTGGAAACAGCAAGAATTTGGCTGCACCTTGGGACTGAGCATGTCCATTATTCGCATCAGATATTTGCGGTACGTGGAAGGGATCGGATCATCGCCAACAACTACCAAGGATGAGATTTCATGCCAGATTTGAGTGGCTGAAAAAATATTTGGGATATGAAACGAGAAGTCCTGACTGATCGCAGGAAAGGGCTTGAAAGAGAACAAGGCAATCAATCACCCGCTAAAGGCTAGCAAGAATTGAGAGAACTAGCCGCCGATTACTGGGCAGAATTGCTCACTCGGAGCACCCAACGATTTTAGTCCCATAACTTGTATGTTATCGTGGCTTTGTTCAACCTCTAGCTAGATATGAAAAAAAGTACAGATATTACTACATCAAGTCAGAGTTGATCTAAACTTTTTAACAGTTTTAATTTAAGTTAATTATACATTTTTACATTTTTTTAATATTTATTGCTATGGGTAGCAAGTTTCTTATTTCGCTTAGATCTTTACATATAAGAAGCAAAATATGACGGTAAAACCCATCGGCACCGTGATTTTACCAATGGCGCCGCGCTAAGGCCTGGTTAGCAAGTGTCATCTTGGAGTAGGCTTTTAACTTGGGTGCTATTTTCTATAGTATCGCCTTAATCAAAAAATCCCCCCCCCTCCCCCCCGGGGGAACCATCTGAACCATATAGTACTTCCTGATTAGCTCTATATTGATCCCCTTTATCGCCTAGTATGCCACTATAAAGCAATTTGAATTAAATCTACTACCACTACAAGACGGCTAATGGCCATCGACGTGAGAGAAACACAGCCGCTCTAATGAAACCTAATTATCTGCTTTATTCTTCCTTCGGCGATCCAATGCGGTGAATAAATTAGAGAACCAATCTTGGACTTTGTCATTCTCAACCCATTCTTCGTCGCATTTGTGTCCTCCAAAGATATTCTAGGCCTTGCGCCAAGAGGGGCAGGCTGTACTTTGGCCGCTGATTGGTTATATGCATGGGATCACGTGATGGGTTCTCCGCCCTTCGCGTCTTTTTTGCGGGGCCATCTGTTTCCACTCGAAGACAGACCCCAACCACACAGCTGGTTGACTGTGCGCGGAACATGGCAGAGTCTGTGGACTACAGAGCCCTGTGGGAAAGGGCAGAGGCAGAACGGAAAAATGCAGAGGAAGAACGCAAGAAGGCAGAGGAAGAACGCGACTTATCCAGGATTCACACCCAACTATCCACCTTCGTTGAATTCATCCGAGCTAGTCACGTTCATCTTTCCCAGCCTCTTCGTGTGCAAACTGACTTGGAAATTTGTACCAAAGGTCCGTTGACGGGCCCCAAAGGCCGTTCATGCCCAACACTTCTACGCCCTTGGACCCAATTCCAAGAGCTACAAGAAAAGGTGTATACGAAAGTCCTTGACTTACTGGAGCCTGCAGAAAGGCCTTCGCCGCGTCTCTTTACGTCACTCGCGGGCCTAGAGAATCTACAACAGGAACTCCATCTTGGCCCTCTGTCCAGTGAAGAGGACCTGAGAATCTATAGCTCCCTGGCGGTCGAAAATCAAGTACATCGGATTCTGGAAAAGCTCAAATCAATTCCAGCGTCGAGTGTGGTTTTCCCTCGCCTCGGTGGTATCTCTTTTGAAAACCATTCAAATGCACTAAGCGAGCGCCGAGCGCCCCGTCGTTCTCAGTCTGGCTCGAACCTGACTCGGTCCAACACTGACGGTTTCTGTGTACACCAAATTGTGGGCGGTCAGAGGGAACTTCTGACCACTATGGAATACAAAGCAGCCCACAAACTGACATCCCAACAACTATGCGCTGGTCTGCGTGAAATGAATTTATGGGAAGATGTGGTGCAGCAGACGAGGATACCCATCGACTGGGAAGACAAACTACAGTACATTGCGAAGCTTCGAGTCGGAACCATAGCGTCGCAGGCCCATGATGCCATGCTCAAGGATGGAATGCCAACCATGGTCGTGTCGACCGGGATTGACCAGGTATACTTTCATATCCCTGAAGACAGACCTGAGATCTTGGAATATTTTCATGCGCAGCCAAATCTTGATGTCGAGTCAATCCGCCAGACTGATTGGGCTTTGCAACCCGTCACTGTCATTGGGCGAATGCTCTCTCTATGTCTCATGAGCTTGACGTCACCACCTCGGAGTCAAGCATGGCGCAATAAGGCAATGGATGAGACCCACACCTGGATGGTTGACGTGGAGGAGATCCTCAAACACTTTTCAGAGGATGAGCTGCGCTCCAATCCATCAGGATCGGAGTATTTCCCTTCTTCGCCGTTAGGCCCATCACCTGGCTCTCAGGGCCCGAACCGTTCTGCACGTGTCAGTTGTCAGGATGGAATGACGTCGCCTCCCCTTTCGGACCACTCTGACAGCGACAACCCCCGGATCAAAGTCGGAAGCGCGCCCGGAGTCGACTCCTTTCTTCTCCTACTCCTGGCCCGGCGACCAGGTCGAAGATTAAACGACCCACCCAATCTTCTGGTCCCGGATCTGGGGAGGCAATTGACGGGACTGAGGCGATGGACTATTGTACGCAGCCCTGTCTTCTCGGTCTACGGGACCAGGGCAAACTAGACTTGGAATGCCCCAACGTTGAGCGGCATCGCTGTTCCCAACGTACACAGTGCCATCTGATCGACCGTTTTGACTTCCTGCAACGTTTGGAAAAGCAACTCGACGAGAGTCTTGATCACTATATTACCCCTAACGAGATTCTCGCCTCTGGCGCGGTTCTCTCACGGGTGATTTTGATGCCCTACGGCTATACATTCATCGGCAAGGGCACACCGGATGAACTCCAGGATGACACACCCCGGGAAGCGGAGGTCTATGGAGCACTTCGTTCCTGCCAGGGCTCAAAAATACCAGTTTGCTTGGGCGCAATTGATCTACAACGTACCTTCTTCGTGCATCCCCAAATATGCATCAAGCAACTGCTGCTACTATCCTGGGCAGGCAAGCCAACCGATATCACACAAATTGCACCAGGCGAAGCACGGGAATCCTACCGGCGAGCGCTAAAGGCAATCAAAGATAGAATAAGTGGTTACAACTCGATGCATCCAGGTAACATCTTGTGGAACTCTCGCAGGCGTTGTATTCAATTTGTCAATTTTGAGTCACCGGAATGTCGTCCCCGAAAATCGCTACTGGCACCAAGTAGGCCACGAAGAAAGCCTCCGATGGGGGAAAAAACACGATCACCGAAGCGACGTCGCGTCTGCTAGAACCTCGCGCTCTGTTCATTGTTATTAATGCAAGCAATTTGGGCCAAGTCAATCCGGCCATATGAAGCTTGCGCAGGACACTCGACGGAAAGAGTATAGCTCCAGGATTGATATGCCCATACTGATATTTGAAAATGGCAAGCACCAGGATTTAATTTTGGAATGCTACATGGAGCAGGCCAGGACCTCTCATAGCACTTCGCTTAGTGCTGCCATTCTTGCCCCTTGAACCCTTTATCCAGTAGCTTCGTCCAGACTGCAAAATTCTTCACTCGTGAATGTCTTTATGCGCCGAAAATTGTACAAAATCAAGCGGAGAGGCTGCCACTCCTCCGAATCCAATTGCTATAATTAATCCTTGGGCTTTTACCTGAACAATAAGAGACCACCACCGAAACAATTTAGGGAGACATTATCTTCGAGACTGTAGGGACCGCCGGGTTGGACCCCGTATAGAGGGGTAACCGTGCCAAGCGCTCAATACACCTGCCGGGTATTGGTGCGCCCCACTAGATGCAATATTTTCACAATTCCACCAACTTCCCACCCATTTTACTACTACAACAAGATGTCAGAAAAAGCCGAAAAAATCGAGGATCGAATTCCAGATGCAGTCAAAGCCTACCATGCAGCTATTAAGCCTAATATAGCTAAATTGGCGCGGGATTTCGAAGTTCCACCCTACCGGCTTCGGAGCCGAATTCATGGACGCCAGTCCAATGCCGACCGTGCCAAAACAACCAGAAGCTTGAATTTAATTCAAGAAAAGGCACTCACTAGCTGGATTCAAACCCTAGATAGTGCGCATACATCATCTACCCCAGAGATGGTTGAAGATGCTGCAAATGCCATTTTAAAAAAGGCTGGTGAAGATCGGGTTGTTGGCCGCAACTGGGCGTACCGCTTCCTTACAAGACTACCCCTCAATTATATCACCCAAAAACCAAAGGAAAAATCGAGGGTAGGGAGTGAAGATTACGGTGCTTTACTTCTCTGGTTTAACCACCTCTCTACAGTGGTTAACTAGCATCAATTCCTACCGCATGAGATTTACAATTGGGACGAAACCGGCTACCGAATTGGCCAAGGGAAGCAACGTAAGGTTATTACCTCTCGTATAACTAGGGATATCCCTACCGGTGGTCAGTCAGAGTCAATTACCGGCATTGAATGTATTGCTGCCGATGGCTGGTTAATGCTACCATGGTTCCTACCTAAGGGTAGTTTACATATGGAGGAGTGGTATGAAAATATCACTACCCCCGATTTTCGAATTAAACCAACGCCAAATGGTTGGATTGACGATGAAACTGCACTTCAATGGCTCTTCTCTTTTCATGAAGCTACTATTGATCGGGTTAAAAAGGCAGGCCAAGGCTTCTTTTAATGGATAACCATGGTTCTCAAACAACCTTCGAATTCATTGATTTTTGCACACAAAAAAACATTATCCCATACTACTTCTTACCCCATACAACCCATCTCTGCCAGCCGCTAGATGGTGAAGCCTTTCAAAGCTTAAAACACCATTTCCGTACGGCAAATAACGAGATCGCTATGTGGGGTGGAAGTGCAAGCAAGAAGCGGGATTTTTTCCGGATTATCTAGGATGTTAGAGAGCAAGCTTTTACACAGAGAACGATCCGATCTTCATTCAGATCTAGGGGTATTTAACCTTTAGATCCAGAGGTTGTTCTTACTCCTCTACGCCTGAGAGACCTCGAAGCTGAAGGGTCCCTCCCCCCTTAGGATTTTCACGCCATCCCCCCCCTGACTTTGCAAGCTCAGTCACCAATTCACCGCCAGATACAATTAAGCGGGTCAAAAAGCTTAATACTAAGCTTACCAATGATCTGGAGAGAATTGAGTATCTATCTGAGAGCGTACAAAGGAGCGTACAAAGGCATATTCAACGAAGTATGGATGCAAATACGCTTTTATCTCAAGAGCTTGAATTGTTAAAGGCATCTTTGAAGAAGTGTCAGTCCCACAAATCAACTGCAAATACGCCAAAAAATGGGAAAGCGCTTCGTGGGACTAAAGGCAATGTCCTATCACCTATATGTGCAAATAGGATGATGGTAAAAAGACAGGATGCCGACGCTAAGAAGTTGAAGCGGTTACAGGCAAGTAGACTTCCGCAAAGCCCAACACTGGGCCTAGATCTCAGGCCCAAGGCCCAACCCCCATGGGCTTTGGGCCCATTCTCTAAGGCCCAACCCAACCCCCAAGCCCATGGGGGTTGGGCTTTGGGCCCCCCCAAAAGCCCAATTCCATGTATAACTACGGTCTTGGCGCTCATAAACCTGATGATTAATGACTGTTTTTTACAGATGCTCCACTCTGTAAGCCTATACAGTGCATACATCGGCCCGACGTTTTACCAGGCCTAATTAGGGGTTCAACTCCCTCAAGAATCAAGATCTCAAGATTCAACGGCGAGGAACTGGTAATTAAGGTCATGAATAAAACTAGCTACACTATACACTATAGTTTACCAAGATTATCTAAAGAAAAACACAATTTCATCAAGATTTCGTAGTATTCTGGCACTTAGGGAATCATCAAGTGTCAACATGCAGAGATATATATCTCATGCAGATAGAAGTAGGTACACCTTTCTGTTGAACTTCAATTTTAAGGGTCAACTTTATCAATTATAGGTTTACAGCATTGAATTTTATATCAAAAGATACCTAATCTTTTACTCTCGACGTCTACGTTCACAGAAACGCGATAATTTAGCTATTCCGGAGGTGAGAGAGGGTTAAAGATATGTTATGAGCCCTGGGGTGAAATGTTTTGCGCGAACAAATTGTAAAATGGGCGGGGAGATGGGTTATCTATGGGCTTTCTTGGGCTTTGGATGGGCCGAGTCCACTGAATATGCATGAATATACATGGTCTAGCCAATGAGATGCCAGGATCAAGGTCATACGTTTTAATGTCGACGGACATAATCTCTTTACATCTACTGTTTACGTCCTCTGTTTGCTACCGCGTCGATAGATCTCTCACTAAGAAGAAGGTATGTCGATTTCTTCCTCCTCCCTCACCCTGATTCCCCTAAAGCCCTTCATCTTCTGAATCCATTGACCGTCACTGATCATGTCGCAAAGCCAGGAAACCGAGCCTAGATCGTCTCAGTTGAATTTCTTCGACACTGATCTAGACGACTTGTCTCTTATTGCTACCCCGTCCGTCTGCCCAGCTACCCCGTCAACCTCTCGGCAGGTTGACAGCTTCTCGTTCGCCCAACCGTCTGTCCCTTCGTCCGTCGCACTAGATCCTCTCGACCGCTTCCAACGTGTCGGTCGAGGCCAGTTCTTCCTTTACGACGCGATGCTCCACAACGATTGGGTCGACTGGTGGCTACAGACTGACTACGGATCTCGGAGCAAGATCAACTGGGACTCGCAGCATAGCCGGTCGAAGGTCTGGAAGGATTTTGACCAAGTGGCGCATACCAGTTCTGGCACTGCAAAGGTGATGTGTAAGAGCTGCGGTATGATCCTTGAGCACCCTTACGCTACTAAGAGCTCGAAGGAGGGAGTTAGATCTGGGAAGGATAATCGTCATGGTACGACCACGATGATTCGACATGTGACTACTACTGCGTGTCAAATGGCCACAAGTGGACGCCGGCAAAGAGATAGAATGACGAAGTTTCTTCAATCGGTATGTAAATACATATCATTCTTCAAGAATCAACCCTACTAACTAGTGATTTCTTTAAACTAGAGCGGTCTAGCGGAAGAACCTTTCTCGCAAGAGTCCTGGGATAGTGAAGTCCTCCGATTCATTACCATTAACCGGCTTCCGTTCAATCTCGTCGAGAATCCAACCTTCCGTCGCCTCATTGCGAGAGCCCAATCTGCCCCAAGCCCTCCGAAAGTTCCTTCCGCTGATACAGTTCGACGTCGCCTATCTGCTCGTGTCAAAGATCGACAACAAGATACACTTAGGATGTTGCCAGAACATGCAAAGATCTCGGTTGCGTTGGACTGTTGGACATCTCCGTTTGGGCAGGCATTTATGGCTATCACTGGCTATTTTATCGACGTCGACTGGATCTACCGTGAGGTGCTACTCGGGTTCAAACCCCTTCAAGGGACGCATTCGGGTGCGAATCTGAGTGCTGTTCTTCTAGAGACGCTCACTGAGTATAGAATTCAGGATCGAATCTTTGGATTAACCGCTGATAACGCATCGAATAACAAGACTCTGGTTGATACGCTTCAACAGTCTTTGTCTTTGTATGGCGATGTCAATGTTATCAGAATACCCTGTCTTGCTCATGTTATCCAATTAAGTTTGAACCAGTTGCTTGATCGTTTGAAAGCAGTCCCACTAAACGATACTACCGAGACGGTATGGACAGACCGCCAAGTCACCCTCGCAAGGGCGAATGCACAATCTCGGGATATATCGCATACCTTAAATAAGGTACGGTATCTTGCTCATTATATCCGCGCGAGTTCTCAGCGGAGAGATTCATTCATCGATCTTCAGCCTCTAGGGCAAGGGCTTATGCCGATCCAGGATGTCAGAACTCGATGGAATTCAACGTTTCTAATGCTACGCCGGGCAAAGAGACTCCGCGTTTTCATCGTCAAGTACTGTGATCAGTTCAATTGTAAAGACTTCGCACTTGATGACGACCAATGGCGTCAGATTGACTACCTTCTTCATCTGACAAAGCCATTCTTTGATTTTACCCTTGCCCTTTCAAAGAGCCGAGAGGTAACATCCCATCTTGTCTTTATGATCTACAATAGACTCTTTGAGCATCTTGAGAAATCAATGACGCAGCTACGGCGAAAGAGGGTCCTTTGGAAACAGCAGATGCTCAGCTCTCTCGAAGCTAGCCATGCTAAATTGCGTGACTACTATAAAGAGACTGATAAGATCCGTGGGCATATCTATGCGGTCTGTACGATGCTATCGCCAGATAGTAGATTCCAGTTCTTTCTTTCTGATGACTGGACGGATGCCAAAGAACTCCGTGATCAGTATCGAGTGGCCTTCCGAGATGCACTTACCCCTATCCAGGAGCGTCTCACTGCTACGAAGGGCCCACAAGAGTCCTCCTGTGGATCGACACCAAGATCAATGCTTCATAACCTGGCTCGGAAACAGAAGCCTCGCTCTAAAGTAACGCCAGGCCCAGTTATAGTTGATGAGATGACGCAGTATCTCGACGGCAGTAAGTTCATCCCTATATTCATCCCTATGGCCATCCCTATGTTCATCTCCACAGCCATCCCCATGTTTATAATACTAATTTCATATAGATGTGACTGATTCAGAGCCGCTATCCTTTTGGAGAGAGAATCAATTCCGTTTCCCAGCTATTGCTGCACTTGCAAAGGATGTCCTTGCAATCCCAGCAACGGGCGCGGGGGTGGAACGTCTATTCAACACTGCAAGAGATATCTGTCACTATCGCCGCGGTCAGCTCAATTCTGATACTATTGAAGAGCTAATGCTCTTCCTCTGTACATCAAGGTTTGACCTTGATTTACAGGAAGCAAAGGAGGTAGCAGAAGATCTCTCATCTGATGAGATTGATGCATTAAAAGAAGTTGAACAAAGTGATGACCCTGAGAAGCCGAATGATGTCGAAGTTGAAGAGATTAGTGACACTGAAGAACATGGTGATGGACCTGGTTCTGGGGATCTGATAGATGTTGACGATGACGATAATGATGCTACGATCACTCCGTCTGTGATGCCGTCTGTGATACCGTCTCAGGTGCGGACATCGGGGAGGAAGAGGAAGCATGTTGATGATGAACTGTATCAACGTTATTAGATTAGTATATAGATAGTTTAATCAATAGATTTATCAGTTGATATCATCAATCTCATTAATCAGTCAATTCCGTGAATTCCCATGAGAACTCAGTCAATTGGGGGCCTCAGACGGTAATTAGAATACTCAAAAATACTAGGAAATTCTACATAACTTATGCAAATGCCAAGAATTGGCATGTTTGCACTGTTTGGGGCCCAATGGGCCCCCCCCAAAAGCCTTATGGGCCCTTACTATAGGCCCACGGCCCACCAGTGGGCCCGAGAACCGGGCCCAAACCCAACCCATTTGGGGGTTGGGCTGGGCTGGGCTTTGGGCTTTTGGGGCTCTGCGGAAGTCTACAGGCAAGGCATGCCAAGGAATTACAAGCTCAGCAGCGAGTTCAGGAAGCTAGGGATTTAGCTGAAGCTGAGCATGAAGCTTTAATGGCGGCAAGAGATAGTAATGGTGCAAATTGGTATATAGATAGTCATGGTGGTTACATGTAAATAGTATTTTTATAGTTGAACAAATTGAAAATCTTGCATCCGGTGAAAATATTGCATCTGGTGGGGCGCACCAACCACCCATGCTGGGTGGTTGGGCGCTTGGCACGGTTACTGAGCGTGGCATGGAATTGCATTCATATGCAGGTTAGACCCTCATGGGATAGAGCCCCTTAGCTTGCTCTCGACATTCGCTATATAGAATACCTAATGAACAACTTCTTCATGGTTTTATGCCCCCTCATCATGGCGTACTCCAATGGGGTCTGATGCAGAGAGTCTTTAGAGTCCACGTCCACTCGCCTAGTCTCAAGCAGCAGGTTCGCCACGGCTTCATGTCCATAGCCAGCAGCGTAGGATAACGGTGTTCGACCACAGGAGTCTTTAGAGTCCACGTCCACGTCCACTCTCCCATTCTCAAGCAGCACTTTCGTCACGGCTTCATGTCCATAGCCAGCAGCATAGGACAATGGTGTTCGACCATGGGAGTCTTTAGAGTCCACTTCCACTTGTCCAAACTCAAGCAGTACTGTCGCCACGGCTTCATGCCCCTCCATAGTGGCGTAGGATAACGGTGTTCGACCATAGGAGTCTTCAGAGTTCACGTCCACTCGCCCAGTCTCAAGCAGTACTTTCACCACGGCTCCATGTCCATATGCAGCAGCGTAGCATAAGGGTGTCAGGCCGCCAGGTGGATATTTAACATTAATGTCTGCCCCCTCTCTCCGGATGGCGAGTAGAGCTGTTTGTTCGGTGTTCATTTCGTTTCAACAAGATATGAAGATGGTTGAAGAAATACAAGAGAGCAAAACGGGGTCTGTGAAGATGAATATAGGGAAAATAGTTTGAGGCTTTAGGTATTTATACCTGTTGAAAATATAATTACACCTGATACGTGTTTTAGTATGTAACGTACTGAACCCGGGTAGCACTTGAGCCTGGGTGATCTCCCAAGCCTGTTGGAGCGATGGCACCCTGCTCCCAATTGTCATTGTTGCCTCGTCTGGAAACACTGCCATATTCGAGTCACTCGACACTTTCTCCGCTAGCTGTGCTGCCCCCGACGCTATACCTGGATCCGTCATTTTTTGTACATACTCTTTCTACGTGGTAATACGTATCGCGGAACGCATTAGACTAATTACTCTGAAATTTTAACACCATAATCCTATGATATATAGAATAGAGCTCTACAAATTTTCAGACCAATCCTCGTACGGGAAGGAATTTCAGTCTACTCGTGAAAAGTATTCCAGTCTACTCATGGCCCCACTCTTTCCTCCCATAGTTAAGACAAAGTCCTAATTCCAGTCTACTAGACTGCGCACACCCCCATGGGATAGCCTTTATAGGGTTCATTCCCCTTGACGGCATTATTGGTAGGCCGCGCTGGCCAAGCAGTCAGAGAAAGTCCAGTAACTTCTTCTTTCCCATTCTGCCCTGTTTTGAAATTCGGTTCTCTATCTATCAAGTAAGGAGGAAGGACAATTCAGCCGCATTGACAATCCAGAACACTAGGAACGAAGGAAGATAATGAGAAAAAGGAATCTACTGTAATCCTGCACAAGTTGGGTCAAATGACATCTCGGAAATGAGGCTTTCCCTGATATCACAGCTACAAAAGACTTACTGAGACAGTCAGTCTTACTGATGGCTACATTGATTGAAAGTAGAGTTAGTGTCTGTATCGTTGAGGTTTTGGACAGTTGATTGTTGAAGCATGCCTATAAGTAACTAGAATCTATACCGACAAATAAAACAATCTGGAGTATCGTAATGAACGATGCGATTGCCGGACTTCCATACCCAAAAGCCCACGGGAATGTTCCGATCGTCAACGGTATAAACAAAAGCACGACGCAGAGGAGCGTCTTGAAGATGATTTTGTCCGTCCACCCAATATGAATCCCCGGACCAGAAAGTCGATCTCCGCTTAAGCCTTTCGTGGCGGACGCTCAAGTAACTCCGTGCGGAGGCCTTTGTGGCTAAGCTTGAACATAAGCGATGCCATCCGCGCCAAGCAAGCCTGTATAGTGCGTACTGTATGGTACATTGATCATGATGATGGTTCGGCTCCCGAGGGACAACACAGCAGTCAATGGAACAATCTGGACTGGCGATATCCTCGACGCTAGAAGCCCTGAACTGGACAATGACCAGACTCATGGAGTCGAATATAAAGATCTGGGGACAGGAATACTCGCAGGCGTACCTAGATCTGGTCAGCGACATCTTGGGATGGATTGAAAATAGCGTACGCCCTGAGCTCTGATTGAAGACGAGCAGTCACTAAACCTCTCCTGTCCATGTCCTCCCATTCCACTCGCCTGATCGTGCGGGGTTTCTTCATCTCCCCTATCATTGCTGGCATATCAAGCGACGGGTTCTCATGGTTCATGATCATTTGGTAGTCAACAACCTTCGTAGACCCAGGGGCCGCAAGTTGAGATCGCGCGAAGAGCGACGGTCCACCATCTTCGAGACCACCGGGGGTACTAGATCTGGCTTCCGCACCGCAAAAGGCCACCGCAACAGCTGGAATAATGCTTTGGTCGAAGTCTCGCGTCACATCGCCCTCGGTCTCTACTAACTGGCGAAACATGTTCGGCCATTCGCAGGGAGTTTGAAAACCAATGAAATCAGCTCGTGATTCATTGTCACCGGGTCCTAAAAACTCCTCGATATTGGCCCTGGTTGGAGCCCAGATATCAACATTCACAAAAGGAGCATATCGCCGAGTCCATTCCTTCACAGAGGGTGCAGTATCGTTGTCAAGTACTAGAGGTACAGGGCTGTATGCGGCCAAAACTTGATCCACTGTAGTCGACATGATGAAATTAAGAAGATTGTTGAGGTATCCTTCCGAGATATACAGTTCTTGATAGATTGGAATGTTAAACCAGGGGGAACCATGGTGTATTTATACAGGAGCCTACGCAATTCGGGATTCCTACAGTCAATGACTTTAATTTGTTCTAACCTGGATTCAGTCAGTGGTCCATAATACTGGAAGACCTAGATACCTTGAAACATCGTTAGACCGGCAGCCTGCATAATTCTCAAGGACAAAAAAAAAACATAGCGGATATGCCATGGAAGATTGAACAACCGCAAGGATTTACGATCCATAAGAGTAACCCAAGTCTAGGAAAACCAATCAAAACAGAGCCTTCTGGATGGTTATCCAAATGGGAGCGATACGATTGGTTGTGTTTCGAGGCGTTTTCAGCTGATCTGCTGAGCACCTCACAGTGTGAGGTGCGACGGTCTGCATCCAACTTTGACTAGTTTTTTACTTGCACTTTTACTCGATCTAATGTTTGAGGGCATAACAGAAGGGAATTAAAGTACTATTACTGGAAAGCGAGTACCACTAAAGCACAAGTGAGCGCGCTTGATAGTCAGTGTCTCAGATTCGATATTGATTCAAAAAACGCTAAGCGATTTTACCAAAGAGTTGTATAAGTATCTCGTTCCCAAATTCTTAGAGCTCCGTATATCTTCATGTAATTATGTGTCCAATGGACCTCACAGGCTCCTCTAAAGATGCCGACAAGCAGAAAGCAAACGCCAAGGCGTCAGAGCGCTTTCGCAATCGAAAGCGCGAAGAAGCGCAGCGCGAACTGCTTATAAAAGAGCAGCGGAATGAGATCAAATTCCTCTTGAAGCTTAGTAGCTTTTACAAATCTAAACGAGACTTTTACTCTATCTAGTAAACTTGTGCTACACAGGCATAAGGGAATAGAAGAGCCATGGAACATATGAAACTTTTTTTCCCATGAAACAAGTCGTAATATTCCAGATATGGAATGATACCAGCCATTAGGCGTACCAGGACTCGACAATATATGATATTTTGCTTGGCATGTAGAAGTATCGCCGTAGGCCCTTTTTATCATCAGCCGTCCGTGGGGTCAATTAATGTTTGAGATTAAGCGTTTCTTCTAGATAGGGGCAAATGAGACACTTGCGACCAAGAAGATGTAAGAACAAATAATTTATTTATATAGTGCTGTATTAAAATAAGCCTACGATAGAAACAAATCCCTATGACCCAAATAATAGTCACATTGTGTTATTATTGTAGGTATCTGGGGGTTACGCTAGAAAAAAAAGACCAGACACCCAAAGAAGAGCTTGTTCATCGATTTCGTAAAGGTACCAGTATGATTGTCAGGCATCACTATTTTATTGTGGTTGAGGATCATACGCTTCCGACATCTACGCAATCGAGCGATATGGGGTGTAGTCACTGCACCATGAATTTGATGGGCTATTTCCTCGAAACTGTGCCCAATCAGTCTAAATCAACAGTCACGTGCCGTCCGCTTTGTCGTCGTACCCCGCCAACTCCTTTAACCCCACCTCGCCTTGTTCTTAGACATCGCTGGAAATTTAATATTCACTTCAAGCAAGTTTTGCGAGTTAGGCTATTGTGATGCCACAACCAATTCCAGAGAAACCACTTATTCATGAGGAAGACCTAGATGTTGATGCGAAGGTGGCACGCAACCAGTTCAAAGATTGGGCTGGTGATCACGCAGTATTCGCACCGGGGGCAGGAGAGTTCGATATCTGCAATTCAAAAGCACTGGGTTTAGCACTACAACCTTTTCTTAATGCCCTAAAGCACCCATGGAAGGTAGAGAGCTCCCTCTAAACTTGAAGATGCCTAGCTAACCGGATAAAGGCATATTCATTGGTGCAAATACTGGGGGAAAAAAATGGGATGTTCGTCAATAGTGCAGGTGATACATATATCATTCCCATAAAAATCATGGAAGGCACCAGCCCGACCGTTTTACCTGCAGGAACGCTCCTTCAAGAAGGAAAGCGATTGTGCGTGAAAAAGAATGAAAAAGTGCAAATCGAACCAGGACTGCGATTGCTCTTTGTTCTGTTATAAAGGAGAGTGCGCCATGTCGATGGCTAGTGGCCCGTGAAACCGGATTTCTGTTGAAAGGGAAAGGATGAAAGAGAGGAAATATCATAGGGCATGTTAGTTGAAACAGATTGGGAGGAAGAAAGTGGCCTGTGAACATGACTTTCAAACATAGGACGTGACGATGTGGGGGCCAAATTCAGGCCCTGCAAATTGTTGTGCGAATCCCGAGCCTGTATCTTGAGCTCCGGTAGCTCTTTTTGGGTATACAGCGAATTGAGCCAGATCATGAAATATTGTTGTCAAGGGTTGTCCGACCTCTGACTGATTCTGTCGGGGCTCTTGACGACGGGCGGAATGGCAAGATGAGGATATTAATTCGAAATCGGAACTAATATCCCGAAACCATTTTGAAAAGTCACCGACAGAGGCTATAACTGACTTGGAGAGGCCATTTCCCCTCATGGTAGCAGCCGTGTCTTTTTCTTTGCACTCTCCGAGCAAGAGGTTAATAAACGCTGGCAGTTCGGAGATCTTCAAAGCTTGAAATAGGGAATAATGAAAGATTGTGACCAAAGCCATTACCCCTTGGATGTTGTTTTCAAATTCCGTGTCTTTCAGAACATTCTGTAATAAACCGCTGAACACCATTTGGACGATCCCTCTTTGTATTCCTTTCGACACGACGCTTTTATCGGATGGAGGATATTCTCTATTTCGGATAAAGCGAGATATATTCCCACGGCTTCTGACAATTTTAGAAGACTTGAGTATTGCGTCATATTGCATACTGGCCTTTGACTTGAAACCATGCTCGATCTCCCAGTTTGTGAATTGCTGAGCAAGTGAGATTTGGCTCAAGCCCCTCAAAAGCTTTTGTTCGTCGCTTGGTGTCTTATTGCCGTCAATCTGCTTCAAATGGTCGACTCTTTTATCCGTAAACTGTGTATGTTGTTCGATTTGTAGAATTCCAGAGAGTGTGGTGTTCCGCTTGGAAAAGGCTTGCATTTCAGGTAGTCGCTGTTGCACCATTTGTAAGATTTTGGTTAGGTGGTCATCTTTTGGGTAGTCATCTTCAATTCTCTGGCGTTTCCGTTGTCGCTGGGTTCGATGAAATCCTTCGACGGCCAGATCTATCGAGTCTGTAGGATTGGCTGATAAATCTCCCCTGAAGGATGATCGTGGTGGACCTGTGACCCCAACTGAAAGCGTAACCGCTCTTTCTACGTCACGTTCATTCGCGACTGCATCGAACCTTTCCCAGGCGATGTCGAGGTTTGTTCCGACTTGCCTCCAAGTTTCGAACGCCAACTCGCGATGAAGGTGAATTGTTTCTCTAGGTGTATCACAGAGAAGTTTCAAGGCTGAGAGCACTTCAGCTTCTTTGGGATGCATTTTAGGATCAAAGGTTTTGGTCTTGGTGTTGTGTGATCGGAACGGGGCGAGCGGCCTAGAAATAACAATTCAGGGCGGGGAAAGGCGTCTTCGTGCCTAGTGTCAGAAAGACCAATCGAAACGGGGCCTTCTGGATGGCTATCCAAAGGGGTGCGATACAATTGGTCGTGTTTCGAGGCGTTTTCAGCCAGTCTGCTGAGCACGGCCCCCGCTTACGATTGGTGTGGGTTGCGCCTTGTCAGGAACAACTAATCCATACATCCGAATAGCCTGCAACTCTTCATCCGTATGTCATATCCGCTTTTCAACCCAGAACGGGAATCAGAACGTTACCATTTAGCCTATGAGAAACCACTTTTGTTGCTTTTTTTGTTGGAAATTGTCTTATCTAATGTTCAAAATAGCTCCACGAAAGCCTCGGGCTAAATATCAACTACGGCTATATCCTTAGATACCAGACTCATAATGTCGGTACCATCTGTACCATCTGTTTGGATTGCAGTCTTTGCTGCCTAGGCTTCTCATTGTGATATTGAGATTCTAGGGTGTTGCAGACCTACCTAGTGAAGAGAGAAGAGCGCGATGGCGGTCTGACATAGCAGACAGGACGATAGGCAGAAATGGACCCGATGACAGTAGCGAACAGCACAGCGAGCACCCTAAAATGAGACCATACTGTGAAATTGTTCTTTTTCAGGGTGGATGCTTGGATCAATTTTACTACATTGCAGGCCAAAAGAGCGGCCATACAAGATTATCTAATCCGATCAAGCATAGCCAATGAGATCACTTAGTACTACCGTTCGCGGTTCTCCCACTAACTACACTAGGTTTGACAAATCATTATCTAACAGCCGTGAATAGCGGCAGACCTACGCGGAATTTCAGATTGGTATATGCAATTTTATCCGTCTTTGCCGACCGTTTATGATGTTTATGCTGCTGCTCATATGTAATTTTTTAGGTATGGCAGTTTATTTCCGACAAAAGTAGTGCACTTTCCAATGAATGTGCATTCAGTAGGCCCGCCATCTTTTTAATCCTAATCAAAATGCAATAGTGGGAATATATTGCCTGTAATGTGGTGGAGTCCACTGATTTTTGTGATGTAAAAAAAAGCTCACGCGGAGTGATTTGATTGGTCATCTATACCGGCCTTACCTACCCCTGGATGCCCGGGCGCGATGAGACAGACATATATGAGTAATCAGCCATCCGGCTCTGGAGCCTTGAAACCTCCCTTGAACTTATTTCTTGGCCATCTCAAACACGTATTTCAATCGCAACACCTCGTCTCTTTTTATCTCAAAATATGCAACTCTGCAAGGTCAGATTTTATTATCAGGTGTCTGTCAAATTATATGAGCTGACGTAGTATCAGACGTTCTACCTAAACGATCTTCTTATCGATGTGACAGAGGTCGAGCCTTTAGATCCACAGCGCCCGGTGTTTCGCTTGACGCTCTCCTCTCCGTTACCTCTCGTGGATCCAACTGCTGAGATTGATGCTCCATCGACAGTTATAGTCAAGCAACAGAAGATCAATTCGGAGGACGAGTTTAAACAAGAGATACAAGCATACGAAAAGTTGAAAGAACTCCAAGGAACGGTTATTCCAATCTTTTACGGTCAAGGCTCCTTCAATGGCCTTGATGCGTTTGTGATTTCGGAGGTTAAGGGGGTCACCTTACATGATCTCGCTCGAGCCAACTTCGGCGTCCAGGAGGATGCGCTAAAGATGCACCTTGAGAAAGCACTAGGCGCCTTCGATAAGCACAAAGCATTATACTGGGACGCAAAGCCAGATAACTTCCTGTTTTGCGCTAAACAAAGCAAAGTCATGATTGTGGATCTTGAGCAAGTCGAGTTTCCCTGTCCTCTTCAGCCCTGGCATCGTAACTCGGGCAGCGTGGATAATCTGATGAGCAAATTTAGAGATGGGCGAAACCCGAACCGTCCACTATCGCCCGCAGGTGTTTGGGATCAGCCAGGTGCCGAGGACGAGGGCGGATCGAAAATGGTTGGGCTACGGGGGCCTGTGGGACGGATGAAGGAAGGAACTCCAAAGAGCCGTGTTCCATGTTAACAAGGCCGCAATGAGATCGACACCTACGAAACCAAAACCATGATATTCATGGACATCTTACTTTTCTTGCACCGTGAATTTTCTTGTTTTACATATATATTTAAAAATGTATCGGGTCAATTGATCTGTGAAGAATTGCGAGGTCTCCCGGGGTATTTTTTAATCTACGGAGGGGAAGAAGAAGCAGTAACCTGGCGAGTGCTTTCTGGAAATAGAGGCTTTACTTAGGGCTATGGATAGCACTCTTAGCCCGGACAAGAAATCCTCAGGAAGGCATCAATAGGTGTCCAGGAGTAGATAAAGATTGCGGTAGAATATGATTCCAAATTAGAACCACGTTTGGAAACGTCTCCTAAACGCATCAACACCTTAACCAATATATAGATCAGCGTCATATATCTCTGATACAGAATGACAATGTCAAACCGGAAGACGGGGGGCCGGGGCTCTTGGTGCAATGCATAACTGGTATTATTCACCTAGGTAACAGGCACAGAGTAGCAGGGCAAAAGACGAAGATCTAATCCATGATATCTGAGAGGAAGAAGTCAACTATGTATAGCTAGGGAATGCATGACAGACATGCACATTTAGCACACAAAGACCCAACCCATCTTGTGCACGACAACACCGTGCAAGGATCTACTTCTTCTGCTCAGCTGAAGAGCAACGACGGAAGTGAGAGAGCAATGAGAGCCACGCTTTGTATTGAGTTGGTGGTTGGTTTGAGATAAGGAGGATATGCTAATGGCCACAAAACCCAAGGCACTGAACGTTATCCATACATGGATTCGTTCGAAGACCTAGAGACATGTTTTGATGGGTGGCCGACATGTGTATGGGAGTATCAGAGCCGCTGTTTTCAGCCTGGTGTTTAGAACCAGACCAATGGCGTGAGGAGGTAAAAAATCTCAATGAATTGAAATTGGTTACGTTAGGAATAATCACGAGGCCTTATCTAAAGGTTTTTGTAGAGCGGATGGTAGCCTGAGGCCCTCACAACGGGCCTTGGAAACGGGTCTGTGGGCTTAGTTTCGATGTAGAGTGCAGGAACTATAGCAAGGGCCGCTCGACAAGGCTAGTTATGCTTACCCCTGTGGGTGTCAGGTTCTGAAATGCCGACTATCTCGCTATGTTATTCATGATCTCTGGTTCCTCGGCACTGTAAGCCCTTCTGATAGTGTGAGAGAAAACCACGTCTGCCTCGCCAGTCTGTTCAGAAGATGACGACCGCAAGCAAGGGCCCTCAATGCAGTGTCGTTCACTTCTAAGGATATACGCCCGTTCATAAAGCTCGTGTAATACCTGCGTTTTCTGCAAGGAAATAATATTATCTGAAAACAGAATTAAGAGCACCATAAGCAATATAGGGAGCGAACTGTTGCTGTCGATGCGTGGCAGCAAAGCGGTATGTATACTGTGCTCGACGTCCGAAGACCGTGCGTTCTGTCCATCGGCTGAGGGGGTGAAAGAATCAGTGCACAAGTAGTAGTCGAAGACTGCACTACAAAGAAACTTGAATCTACGGCCCATTTAGATTTCTTGAAAGATTGACATTAACCGGCCCTTACATTTTTTACCAAAATTACAGACCCTCGCATAGCGAGGGTCCGCCAACAATATGCAATACTCCATCTAAATGCAACGTTTTTTATACATTTTTCTTCAACCACCATTTACTACCCTACAACGTAGTAATTTAATTAATTAAAAATAGTAAAGAAATCAATCAGCCATTTTACTACTATAATACAAAAACAATTTAATCTCCCCGGCGTTTTTTGGCTCTTCCATGCTTCCTGATTTCGATCAACACCTTCTTCCACTTCCGCCTCGTTTTTTCTTGATGGGCCTTTTCGCTCAATTTATATTCTTTATACTTCATGTTTTTGACCTGGGTGGAATTGATGATACCGGTGATCTGTATATGACGGCGCGAATTGTCATATCTAGCATGGCGTGCCCCCATAATAGCCTAGGTAGAATCGAATTCCCGCTGTAGCTGGAGAGCTAACATAGCCTACGCTTCAGCACCCTTTGCAAGCTTTGCTAGCGCATCTTTGAAACGCTGAGTGGTAGGATCGTATTGATTAAGACGATGGCTGATTCTTCGAATTCTCTCAGCTGTTTTTGGAGTGCTGAATTCGGTATTTTGAGAGTCAGTTGACGGAGTATCCTACCGGGGTAAATTGTCATGATATGGATCGTACGACTCCAATTCATCAGTAATAAGCTTGGAATTAATAGGCCAGAGGCCTGTCAATTTAAATCTAAGCTTAATTGTATACGGCTGGAAGGTTTTTCGTCTGATTTCGCCAATTGAGTATAGGAATTCATCCTTCGAGAATTTGCGGCATCTAGTCATAGTAGCCGCTTTAACAGCCTCACTATGCCAGTGTTTATACACGCTAAACACCCCAATATCAAGAGGCTGTAGTATATGGCTAGTATGGGAGAGTAAGAAGAATAAAATGATATTATTCTTCTCACAAAATTCAACGAATTGACGCGTCAAATGTGATCCAAAACGGTCGCATAAAACAAGCCTCTTTCTACCAATTGTACGACCAATTGTCCATTTGTGGAAGAGCTGAATCCACTGATATGCTAGAGTATCATTGATATACCCAGTATCAGTTACAGATATATGCTCGTCACCTTCAATCGCGTCAAACCAACGTAGTAATGCCTGCTTAGCACTTAGAATTATAAGTGGTGGGCAGGTAAAACCATCGGCCGAAACAGCCTCTAAAACCGTGACAGATTCACGATTAGTGACAGATCCATTGAATAGCTTCTTTTTTGGATGCCTGGTGATAATGAATTGATCGCGTCCGACGCCAATTTGAAAGCCAGTTTCGTCAAAATTGTAGATATCTTGTTGGCATATACCATGCTCAGTCACCACACGTTGATAGTCTTGAAACCACCTTTCCACCACAGTTTTATCAAGGGCAGAAGCTCTCTCAACGTCAAGAGCTCGCCGGCGTCGTATATGATATTCAGGATACCGATCCAGGAAACGTTTTATCCAGTGGTCGCCAATTTGTGGGGGTGGTTTAGTTTCGTCATGGTGGGCTTCTTCAAGAATTGAATTGGCGGCAATAGCAATTTGGCGACGATTTATCGACGCTCCGACCGTATCAAAGTAATCAATATATTCACATAAAGCCGTCTCTTGTACAGGATTAAGCTTCCTGCCATTGGGTTGTCGTTGAAAAAGCGATTTTCCGCCTTTCCATCGCCGGCGTAGTCGGTGCATAGGAACCGCGAATTCTCGCGCAGTTTTCGTGATATTTGGCTTTGTCTGTTCAGATAGAGAGTCGAGAGCTAGCAGAAGCTGTTTCTCTATATCTCTATTGTTTTTAGGCATTTTTGGTGGTGTGGGTAGTGAGAAGGTAAAAGTGTAAAATTTAAAAAGAAACGTTGCATTTAGATGGAGTATTGCATATTGTTGGCGGACCCTCGCTATGCGAGGGTCTGTAATTTTGGTAAAAAATGTAAGGGCCGGTTATATCTTTCTGTGCCGTGAATCGACCTGCTTGTTCGATGCCAAGCCTTCGTCTCGCGCGTTCGCGAACCGCCCAAAAACATTGCCCAGTCTGGACATCACTTCGAGGCGTGGATCGCATCATTCTCGATCGACTGTCAAAATATATTAGTTGTAGCTAACCCCGCACCGATGACGGACCCACCTACGGGAGGGCCCGAACCCCTTCCCACAAACACCCAAGAAACCCACTCCAGCTTCTGAGTTGAGGACTTCCAACCACGCTCATCGAATCCACCAACGCTGACCTAGAGGAGGTCAAGCATGATCAGAACATCATCCGAAACCAGAATGAGAAGCTACATGAGGAAGTCCGAGGGCTGCGGGTGCAAATTGAAACTCTCCCATCCACACCGCCGACCATATCATTAAGCGCTCGGTTAGGAGTCTCATGTACGGGACTCTAGACATCGAGAATCATGGAAAAACTATGGAATCCTCCAAATTTTCAATAAAAAATTGCTCCACCAAACCTGGTCCAATGGACTTGAAAGCGGAGATTCCGTTTACAAAATCTACTACTGGGAATATAACTTTGTAAAGTTTGAGCATGATCTGACGCCAAATACTAAAACGAGTGGTGGTATCAAAATTAAAGCGAGTGGCCGTGGGCCCACTTTTTCTTTCCCATAGTTAACTCCCAGACCCTAATCAGAGTCACGGTGACTCCTCCCACCCCCCTCGGATAGGTTATGTATACATAATTGTCTTGGCGGGTCTAAATGGAGGGTCACTGCCAGGTCTAATCCTGAGTAGATGTATACTTTCGCGGTCGTCCTCTTTTTCGCGCTGGATTATCTGATGGTGCCACAATAAGTAAGTGCAAGTATGCTTAATATTATACTCTGCGGGAGGACAGGCCTCTTTTTTTGAGGGTGATATGAATAGGGGCATGGAGAAATCTAGGCAGTATAGAAATCGAAGCTATCATAATATCCGCTGATGGGGCACGCTGACATTCTGTAAGAGGTTTAGTTTTGACCACGAAAATCAAAAAGGGTTTAGTTTTGACCATGAAACTCAGAAGGGTTTAGTGCATACTTAGATAAGCGCTTCAGCATGGAAAATGATCAGATTCAACCGATCATAACTCCATGCACATTCCATTTATAAAAACTAAAATTAAAGATTCTAAATGCTAGGTTATCAAAGCCTAGGTGTAGCACTAGTTTTAGGTCTATATAGTTATGGTTCTTGTAAGTCGAAGTCGAGTGCTCCGTACTGGTAGGAGTGGTTTCGCGTTATTAAGCCAGGCTGGGCCATCCTAGGAATTCGTACAGCATGTCTATAACATAGGCGAGATGGGCGTGCTCTTGAGTGTTTTAGGCTCCATCAAAGTATTGATACGCCGGGACGACCTGGGCAAATACGGAGGCGCGAACGTAAAACAGATTATGATTACTGCCTTTTACGTGCATCACTGCAAACGGGTGTCTTGCCCATGCAGCAAAAAGAGTATTCACGGATGCGTCCTTATGTCGAGAACGGGTGACTGTTGATACGGCATAATTAAACGCGAAGTCGAACATCGCAGCCAGTAAGAAAAGGGGGAATGCTAAGTCACAACCTACGAACATATCATCAATAGAATGGGAATTGATCCGGACACCAATAGAAGGCTTTTATTACTAATATAAATAGGTCATCACTTAACGTCTCTGTATGTACCAGGCACTAGTTACTAGAAATACCACAATGTTAACTGTATTAGTGCGTTTTAGGATGACAGAACATTTGCATCAAAACAGGAGCTCTAGCAGTTATGGAGACAACGATCGACGCGGATTTAGAGGCCCGAGCCTTCGAATTTTTTTTCGGCTTGGAGGCAATGGTATATCGTTAAAGCTAGATTGAGGCGGAAGCACCGAACCAGGCCTTGGCCCTCGTGGCATAGGCGAATCTGTGAAGTTTCTTTTCGGTGCAAGTGCTTTTCGTTTTCGCTTCATGCCTGTTGCTGAGATTGCTGAGGGTTCACTTGTGAGAGATGGTGATTGGTGACCGTCATGGCGATCTCTCTCGACGTCAAATTCTGACTGACGGACCCAGGTGGGGGCGGATACGTAGGACTTTTCAAGCAATAACGGGTTGTGATTGTCGCATATGAGAGAGACCGTCGCTTCAAGAAGTTGGTCCTTGGGTCTAACGGTGAAAAGGAATCGCGCTTCCACCTGATCATGCTTGCTGCCGGCGGGAAACAATCTGTCATATGGAATCTTGGCCTCGATGATGCCGATACAGTTTAAGTCCGATCGTAATCCAGTGATTGGATACGTGATTGGACAGTCCCAATCTCCCTATGCATACCGGAATGAGAATAGCCGGGTTTTCTTAAGAGAAGGTTCAAGAAAATCATATGACAGTAACAAAAAAAGAAACTCCAAGGGTATCATGTCCGCAGTCAAGGCGCGAGCTGTCCATCCCTGTTGTTAAACTCCAAACCGAAAACAGACTTCAATCCAATATGCTGGCTTTGAACCAAGGCATGTAAACATCTCGCGCCCAGCCCGTAAGCTGTCGCATGCCAGCCACAACAGCGTAAATTTCCAAACAGCTCTGAGTCGTCCCGAACTGATGATCCGTCCACAACTTTGTCTTCCCATCCTCATAGGTCGAAAGTACCAAATGCCACCGATGGCCCTGGATTATGATGCCCGGTATGGCTCCGAGGGCGGAGAGAACCGCAAGCCTGTTCGTTCTGAACTCTTTCTGTTCCTCGGCCGTTTCAGGCGTCCCCATTCCGTTCTCGGCTCGTTGCCTTAGGAGCTTTTGGCCGACGGCCCATCGAAGAAATGACCACTGTGCAGCATGCCAGATACCCATCTGCAGTTGTGCCGTGTCCCAGTGGACGCCAGGCTTCTTAGTCTCGATACTCAACAGAAGGGGGCGTGTACTGATAGCTTCAAAGTCGGTGTGATTCACAGTCTGCGTTGGTGTGATGGTGCTGAACTTGATCACACTTGCAACTAGATCCGCATCTCGATCGACCGAAGCATATACACACATGTCGACCATCTTGATTGAGGACGAGACTGGTTTGAACTCCCGATGCGGACGGGCGGTGGTACTGGATTGGATAACACATCAATATCAGAGCCGAGGAAGTCATCGTGGATTGATCTTGCATGCAGTCCAAGGGGGAAATGAAAATGGACTCACCAGCTCATAGCATTGAAGCCGTCACATTGTCCACCGAGAACCTCCTCAAATATGCTCTCAAGAAGGCGTAGGTGGACTTTATTATTCCAACTTGCCTCTTCGTGGTTGAATTCCTGACATTCGCTGGCTTTTCTGTGTATATTTTCCACTTCTTCGAACGTTGGTATTCGACCAGGCAGTCCATCTTGTTCCTCGGCAGGCTTGAAAGAGTGTCTCCACTTGCGATGGTCCAAGTTCCGAGCCTTAACCTTCTCAATAATCGTAGCCTCCAGGGCATGCGGGAGAATGTCAAGTGCCCGCCCAATCTCCTCCATCGTGCTGACCAACTTCTGAGCGGCATCTGGTGCTGCATCAACTTCGAGGGCTTTGCATTCCACGCCTGATTCGCTGAGTCGCATTTTCATCATCTGTGTTTTGGCTGAAGGGGTTCCCGATGCTACCGAACTTGTCTCGGAAGCCGACCTGGAGAATGACCCAGAGGAAATCGCAATACTGCGCGTGCCTGGACGAGGTGTCGCATCTGGATCGGCGAATGCGCCAGTAGTGGATCCTTCTATGCGTCTCTTTTTCGGTGTCGATGCCATTTTGCTCATGCCATCGTTTTCTAGGGAAGCGGGAGGGCTGGCGAGTTGTTGGTTGTGGCAGCTTGTAGCAGCCACAAGCTTTCGTTTCCTGACCCCTTCGGGGTGGCGGTCGTTCTGGTCGGGCAGACTATGAATCCAAGCGACGATAGAGCAGGGCCATTTGTGACTAGACGTGACTCGGTCACGATTATTTTGCATTGATTGAAGCTGTTATTGATCGCAGGTAAAAAAAAATTGAGAAACGTCAAAGTGTGCACATTTCCAGGAGAAGGTCCCCCGCTCGCTGTTGACCTGGCAACCCAACCCTCACACCTGATCCGTGCGCCACACTTGGCAACAACAAGTGAATCACGTGCCGTCTCACAATATTATTCGCCACAATGCGCACCCCACTTCAAAAGTAGTCATGTACGGATCGCTCCGTACCCAACAAACTCTTGAGATATGAATGTTCAGGACCAAAGGACCGAGAACGCATGACTGATGCCTCATGGCTAAATATACTTAATATCAGCATGAGCAATTAGTCGACCGAAAATTACGAATTTCAAACTTTTGGTGGTGGTGGTACACCGAAGTAGCTACGGGTATTCAAATCTCTTGCCGTCCCTACTGTGCGATGGCGGACATCACCCATTTTTTAACTAAGGCATATAGTCAGGGAACAATTGTCCCTCGGCGTGTCATACTGTAGCATTGCGGAACGCTTGATCACTCTGGGAGGAGTCCGGATCATACCACCAGATCTACCGGTACTTCTTCCTGTGTGATTGACCGTAGTATTATGTTTATGTATACAATGGAAGTGTGCAAGCTTTCCGAGCAGGGCTTACGCTTCCAGTGAGCTCGTTTGTAATTTGTGTTGGGTTGTAGAACATTTGCCGTGGTGTACCCAATCCCGATCAAGCTCCCAACGAGGTTGCGTCCGTCTAAGATGCTCTTTTGGGATGATGTACACGACGCGCTCTCAAGGCACATATGCGACCAGGCTAAAGTGTTTCTCTGGGGTATTAAGCCACACCTATTCACATTTGGCTTTCCAAGAGTCCGCGGGCGGGCCGAAGCATTCGAAATTTACCGAGCATCTTCATCTTGGCCGAACTCGGAACTCTGCGCTAGAATTGCCACCAGCTCACTAAATCTCTAATCCGACTCCGACTGCTAATTCGACTGGCCGTGTGAAAATTAAGTCGATTGGGCTTGGCCCCAGGGCGGTTTCAACCGGGTTTCTCTACATTGTATACCTTCGGCTGAGGCGAGAGATACCTTTTTAGCCTTAATGTGGTTTAGGTTCAACGCCCACGATTGATTTTTTATACAATCCAACATACCATATCGCCATTTGCAAGAAGCGTGGGCATGCCGTGATTCCTCGAGATATTGTCGGCCAGTCAAGCAAGCGCCAGGGTGACCATTGTATCCCCAAGAGGGTGGTGCAGCGAGTGAAGAAGGTTATCGTAGAAGAGTAGGACGAGGTGGAAGGCCAGCCAGTATAAACCCTAACACCCCGAGAAGCCCATCGAGGGTTGAGCCATCCATACTAGTCAAATCAAGTGTGCATTTTGCGCGTACGTTTGTCGGTCCACCGACATCATCCGGAAGCATTGGTGGATTGAACGTTAGTTTTCTGCGTACCAACATAGCCAGAAAGCCCGGCCATCTGAGGGCCGCGGGACAGCCTAACCCTTCCGGGTCGCTGAAAGAGACCGTCGGGGAAAACAATCTAGCATATCAATCTTTCTGTGTAGCTCCCTTTTAATTGAGTGATTGATAGAAAAGGCAGTATCTCGGGTTGAGGTCGCAGATGCCAACTTTTGCCAAGCGGAGAAAGTTGATCAATTCCAGGGTTTAAACGAGACGCCAGGCCGATCGGAATCGGGGAAAACTCCTCCCACTAGATTGATAAGGCAAGCGAAGCGACTTCTCGTATACGTGCCAACACATATACAAGTGGGCATACCTGTTTGCCGCACACGTAAGACAAACATGGGTTGAGAATTCTAATATTTGAGTTACATTAGCTTCTAGAAGTATTGCCCCTTTGCGGCATTAACGAAAAGTGGCCTAACATGCCTGCCTAGGCTGCGGCAAAACCATAGGTAACCGCGGATAACCAAAACCGCAACCGCAAATTTGCGGTTTTGGACCTGATCTGAAAACCACAAACCGCACTGCGGATAGAAAAGTTTGGATCTGAGAATGGGCTTCGAGAATGAGAAATTTCGGAGAATCAGTGAGGTCCATGGACTCAGGGGAACCAGCCAGGTCTTTTTTTTTTCCATTCACATCCTTGCTTGCAGTTCTCTTTGTTTGCTAGACAGAAAATCTTCCTTAGCAAACAAAGAACCTGGCCAGGAGACCCACCTGGGCGAACACTTCGTAATCCGATTGGCAGACCGCCAATCAAACGGAAAAATCGGCTCTCATTGGCTACATCACACCCTAGAACCCCGAGCTGGTTCTACGCAAAGTGACAAGAATTCCAAAAGAAATAAAATTGAATGTTTCAGGGAGAGTTGCAAACCAAGATAATCATTTGAACGAGATCGGAATTGTTGCACCGGAACAAACCTTTCGAAATATATACCGTTCCCTCAACATTTGCAGCCAACATGGCCAAAAGATTTGCTACGCAGATTGTTCTGCGTCGAGCGCTCGTGGGAGATGCAGTAGCAAGAATCACAATCATCTCGGGACCAACTTCGCGACTGGATGTAACATTGACCCAGCGTCTTCTTGGGTTCGAAAGAAGCCTCGCGGCCTCGGATTTTGGATGTTAAGAATTTGAGACTATCTTTGACGAGGTCAGTATCATGACTGAATAACGAGGATGGGTCCTAACATCTTGACAGGCCGCTAGTTGTATGGGTGTCGCTAGTTGTATGGAATGTTCAAGGCTTCTCAGACATAAACATATATGGAGCAACCATTTATCTATCGATTTCATCTCCATTGCTTCCAAGTCTCGCTTGAGCTGCTTTGTATAGACCTCAAAATGGTGCGGTTCTACGCGGTTCTGACGCGGTTCGAACCTCATGGAGCTGCGATTGCATAATGTTGCCAAGTTTTTCCTTTTTCGGATGGATAAATTGATGACTCACCTTAATTTTTCTTTGTTGTTAAAAACTGTTTTGGCCAATACATGGCTGAGTGTTGCAATGGAGCAGCATTCCTGACGAGATTTGATGAAATTTGGTTTTATATAGAAATCCCCGCATTGAAACTTGTAGTTTCCCCTACATTTTGTAAATTTCAGGCTCTTAGTGGTTGATTCTGGTCGGAGTAGCCTTTGATGTAATGTGCGGAGTGAGAAATATATATTTTGATCTGACTACTATACCGCCATCTAGCGAGTCTTTTTTTCAGTTTACCTCCGCGGTCGCAAGTTAGAAGCTCTCTTGATAGCTTACTCCCTTGAGACTACCTTCTATTCTTTTTCTACTTTTTACTACTAAAATTCTCTATATCCGCTACAGAAATGTGGTACCAACTGAGAGAAAAGGAATCTAATGAAAAGTCGGAGAATTGAGTCATTATGTTAGGCGAACGGAGGTGCCTGATATGGTTATGCGGTTCCTGCGGTGCTTTTTGCGGGTAGCTGAGGTTCTTTGTGCGATCCTACGCGGTTCCATAAGGTTTGGCGCGGTCCGAACCTCACGGAACCTCAATATAGTGGGGCTGACTACCCAATCACAACATGGATTGGAAATGGGTACATCCGTAGTTAGCTTTTTCTAGTTTACGCTGGTGCTCGATTCCCCTGGAACTCATTTAGTTCTCTTATTTATAACGTGGAAACTTCCTGTAGACCTATTCTACACATTCTCCCTTTCTAATATGTGCTATATACGAAAATATGTCACAGAGCCAGAACTCTCAGTTTTCTGACAACTATCCTTCATCGATTTTCGAGGACAATCCTGTTGATAACCTCACGTTTCTTTCATCTGATAATTTACAGCCTTTCAACCCTGCTACTTTATATGGGCAGCACACGCCGGGTTCTACGCCTAGCCTTGGGTTCGCCCGGCCAGCGCTTCCGCCCCCCATCCCCGAGACACTCGAGCACGTCGGTCCTCGATAGAAGAAGACCTACCTCCTCTGGACAGAGACGGTAAATGACGAATTCGTTACATGGTGGATACAGACAGAGTATGGAAGTCAGACGAAACGGAATATCTTCGACAGTAAGCACCAGGCAGAATGTTGGGAGCATTTTCACCAGGTAGCTACTATTGAAGATGGATCTCCGAAAATTATGTGTAAAACATGTGATCATATCCTTAGCCATCCTGTGGACCGTCACCGTGGGACATCCTCTATGAATAAGCACTATTCACAAGGGGTAAATTGTCGGAAGTTGGGGCCTCGTTCGCAGGATATCAGAAGGCTAATACATAATGGGGTACGTTGAACTATGTATGCCTCCTGTTTCTCTCAATATTTACTAAGATAATTTCATCTGCTCAGGCTAAGCCAGCCCCTCAAAAAAGGACCTTCACCCAGCAAGATTGGTTAGAGAGGATAATCGCTTTCATGACTGCTTCCCGATTACCATTCCAGCTTGTTGAGCATCCACAATTTCGCGCCCTTATTGAAATGGCCCGGCTTGCTCCATCCTTTCCGGAAATACCATCTGCATATATGGTCCGCCGTCAACTTCAAGAATTAGTTCAAGAGAGACAACATACTCTTCTTCGGACGCTTCCTATGGATGCTAAGCTTTCCATTGCACTAGATTGCTGGACTTCGCCATTTCGGTAATCGGGTCGTCGAACCCAGCCACCTGGCGGTGTCAGGGTTCCCGGGCCTAATTACAACCCGGGCCTAATTACAAATTTTTCATTTCCACATTCTTCAACAATTCACTACACCCCCAATTCTTTATATTATGGATTCAGATTCAGAAGATCGTATTACCAATGCCTTATTAGCATACCATGCTAGTACCAAAAAAAACGTTTCAGCCATCGCTAAGCAATTCAACATTTCGCACGGCGTCTTGAGAGGCCGCATCAACGGTCGCCAGCCTCGAAACAAGCGCACCGCGGCCAATAAAGCACTACACACAGAGCAAGAGAAGGCCTTAGTTCTATGGATCGATACCTTAGACCAGGCCTATTCTCCGCCGTCAGTGGCACAAATTCAGCATGCTGCATTGCAAATTATCCGACGTCATGACCCCGCGCGGACACTCG